GTGATCTTCAGCGACTCTCTCTGAACTTTCTCTCCACAGGGAGGTCTGCTGTCGGTGTGGTTGAGGGGGAGGAAGGGGGAACTTGCCAACTCTCCCCAGGAAAAAACACCGCTGCCTGGACTCAGCATGGCACAGGGGGAGGGGCCAGCGTTCACATGAGTAAAGCTGTCATCACTTGGCTGGGACATGTTGTGACTTCTTTTTGTGCACTGTGATTATATCAGGTCAAAATAAATGTCTAAATCTGGCGGTGCATTGTTTCTTTGCTTATCCTAAACATGTTGAATGTAAAAACAGTACAGTCTGCAGGCCAAGAGGTGCTTTAGTGGGCATGACATTTACAGAGGAAAAAGGGCTTTCAGTAACAGTTTGAAATACTTCCCTAGCAGGGTTTTGTAGTATTTAATAAAAGACACTAGAAAACTGTAATGAGATACTGAACACAAACTCACTTCTCCCATTGTGGTGTAAGTGGAAAAAGTGTCTGAAAATGAATGTACTGTAAATATAAGCTTCTCTCAAACTTATGTGTAATTTCTTGAAGTAATAACTATCCAAATGTCTGCTTATCTGATGAATAAAGTTCTTTCAATATGTAAGATGCTTAATGTTCTTTCACATTTAAAAACTGCTGCTGCTATTTAATTGTTGCAATGTTCAATGTGGGTGTTTCTATGAAGCATTTGATTTTTTCCGTTAAAAAGGTGGTCCTTTGTTACTTTTTATGAAGACAATGGAGAAAGCCTTATAGAGTTTGCTGCCACAATTCTGATAGGCCAATTAAAATCGACTTGAGTGCATAAGATAAGGATTAATGCTTCAATAGCTTACATTTGTATTAGGCCCCGTCCAAACGGAGACGAAAATGAAAACGAACCGATGTCGATATCAAAAAAGTCTCCCGTCCACCCGGAATCGGCTCAAGAAACGTGTCCGTTCACACGAGACCGCTCGACCCGCTGGAGGCGCTGTAGTACATATGCCGGGCCTGTAAGTGGCGCTGTACTTCCGCCACAAAATACACCAAATGCAGCGACGAAGCCCTCCCGAGCATGGTTGCCATGGTTGCCCTTCTGGTTATGCTCCGGTGGATTTAGCAACATGTAGTTCATGTAGTTCTCCATGTCCACTTGATGGTTGTGGTAGAGGAGCTGTAAATTTGGCACTAACATCTGTAGCATGGTCAGTAGCGCCTGGAGCACGAACGCAACCCTGTGATCCGCCATTGTTGTTGTTGTTGTTGGCGAAACGCATCAGCAATGACCCGGGTGACGCGGGGGTGAGCAGGAGAGGTGGGGAGAGGCGGGGCTATGATCGTTTAGGGCGTACACACGGTGCCGCAAGCGTTACGTTACCAGACCTTCCCACTTTGGGATGCGTTATATTTTGAGGGCTCCGTTTCCGCGGTTCCGTTACGGCCTCGTCCATACGATAGCGGATAACACCCGTTTCGTCTCCGTGTGGACGGGGCCTTAGTCAATCCATATTAACCTGACCTATTTCAAGCCAGAAATGACACATATCAGAGCAAAAGCTCCGCTCAAATACCCAGCTGGGTTCCAGTCATTTCCCCCCAGAATAGAGCATAATCCATGTGGGAAATATTATACTATAATAATCACACATAAAGTGAATAAAAAGATGTTTGCACAGCCATCTGCAGGATATCTTCAGTAATACTGTCAGACACCTGATCCCCTTCACTTCCTCAGTGCTACGTGTCAAATATGCAAGATGAGAGTGCTATCAAAGTAGCATTAGCTTCAGTTGTGATAGGCAGTGCAGTAAAACATCCATATTATTGTATTAAAACCATAGAGATGCTGTGGTTTTTATTAATAATAATAGATAGATACTTTATTTATCCCAAGATAGGACATTATTTTGTCACAGCAGCATGTTGACAGTCAATCTAGAGGAATTACTAAATTAGTTTTAAAAATAGACTAACAAAAAACAACAACATTAACAATTATATATGAATATTTAAGTAGAAAATACCTATATACCTCATCATTAATACGATTTTAAACAAGGCATATGGGAGGTAGATGGTTGTTAGGCAAGGCACATCTACCAGGACACATTTAAACAATGTAAAAAATCATGTTAAAGCATTACAAACCATTTTCCAACAACATATGTCAACAATTTGTCTGGTTTCCATAAAGCATGACAGACCGTTATAAGCTGTATTGAAGCCAGGGGGAGGTAGCTAGTGTTAACACAGCTGTAGCTACAAAACACACAAACATCTGACACATATTTAAAGAGATTGACAGCACCTCTTTGTTGTTGTTTTAACCTTATTTGATTTGTCTGTGTATCTTTTGTTCCCTTTAGCACAATGCGTGGGTTCAGATTGTGGAAGCTAGCTGTGTTAGCTTAGCAAGCTAGCATGAGCCGTTATAACAGTGTGTCTGCTTCGTGTCGCAGACTTTCAGGCTTTTTTTTGTAATTGTACTTACCTGTCGGACCTCAACATGGACTTGTCCGCCTCCACACCTTCATCTGGCGGCTGTTCTGCCGGTTTAACGGTACTATCGCTGCTGCTGCTGCTGCAGCTGGCTGTTTCCATGTTGGCAACAGCGCGGCGCGGAAACCAAACAGTGAGAGCGTGATGACGTCAGGGAGCGTAAACTCATGCGGCATTTATGGTAATCGGGAAAATGTGTACCAAGTCCTTAAAAGCACGTGAATGCATTGTATAGTAGTACATGTTAATAAATGGAAACAACTTCTTCTCAAAATGTAATTCACTACTTTGTTAGCCACAAGTACAGGGCAATTTTGACATTTCTTGATTCAATAATCTTTATCAAGTTTTATATAAAAATGTTTTAAAAAAGTGATGTATTTAATTCTTATTTTTTCCATATTAAATGTATATATTCATATTCAAGAAGAAGAAGAAGATACACTTTATTAATCCCTTACAGGGAAAGTACACACATTACACACAGAGGGGGAGGATATATTATACATGCACAAACACAGAGGATATACATGCACACACACAGAGGATATGCACAAACACAGAGGATATACATGCACAAACACAGAGGATATACATGCACACACACATGCAGATAGGAGAGGTGGCAGAGCAGAGAGGCTGCCAGTTACCTGGCGCCAAGGGAGCAGTTTCGAGGTTAGGTGCCTTGCTCAAGGGCACCTCGGCAGTGGCCTTGGAGGTGAACTGGCACCTCTCCAGCTACCAGCTCACTTCATCTTTTTTTTGTGTTGGTCCGATCGGGACGAGAACCGGCGACCTTTCGGTTCCAAGCTCAAGTCCCTACAGACTGAGCCACTGCCGCCTTCAAGTTAGTTTTTATGATTGTATTGTGAATTTTATTATCATTATTTTAATTATTTTCTTATTATCATTTTATTTCATTATTTTAATTATTATTAATTCATTTGAAAAATGTTGGACCATTTAGTTTAAGTAAAACTTTATTTTTCATATGAAATGTTGTTATGAATATATTAGATATTATACTATGTTAGAAATCCCATCCCTTACACTCCTGTCACTGAGTTTTAGGAAGTAGCAAAACCTTTAATAGCAACACCATCTTTGGTAGACATACATTAAATATATATAATAATGTGTGTTCTGTTTTATTCAACTTTTATTTATTTATACATTCATTGATTTATTTCCATGGGTATTTATTGTTTCGTGTGTTTATTTCCACATTTATTTTGTAATTCCTGTATTTATGCATTCATCTATGTTTTACTTATGTCACCACTTGTTCTTACAAAGTGACGCACATGGTCTCCCACCGGTCCCTGAATGCACCATTGGTCATGAATGATAACTCAGAACCGCAAAACTCATAAATAGGCCAACTAACCAACTAACTCTGTTTTGTGTAAAAAAATATTATCTAATAATAATACATAATATTATGCAGTTAGTCAACAAACAACTGTGGATTCTTCACACCTTAGTCTTTGGCAATAAGCCACAGTTTGAAGTAAAGTGAGGCATAGGTTTGTTATAACAACATATATTCTTCTTAGATTGACACACAAATAAATCTGTAACAAGAGACATTAATTGCTTATAAGTGCAGTTTTTTAGACTTTATTTTCGTGCTTTCTATATTTACTATTTGTTAGCTGCATCAATGGGATTTTCCGGAGATTATAATAGAGCTTTATTTAATCTAATAAACATCTAACGTTATGTACATCAACACTACTCCCAATTCGGGTTCATGGTTTAGTTTTGAGTATACGTTTTCATACTGGCATGAATCAATTTTCTATAGTGTTTTTTCTAAAATATACAAGAAATCACAATCATTCCCTTTATTCGGCATGACATGCTTTTAAAGCACTAATCAAGCTGAATTATATTACAATGATGAAGTAGCATGAAGTCTAAGAAAGGTTGATTGAAAAATGACACAAATGTGGAAATGATTCATCTGAATACTTACAATAAAACATCATTTCAAAAATCGTGCAATTCAAATGATGATATTAAAACCTGTGGGGTAAAATAACGCAGTTGCCAATAATATGTTGATTTACAGAAGCTATGTTTTAAACAAAATATTTAAATGATGTTATATTGTATGGGAATGAATTGATTTTGGTTCTCATTGATGCTCGTCCCATTAGGAGCTCCACCAACCGGAGGTCCTGCATGTGTGCTGAGTTCAGGGTCCACTAAGCTGCAGTGTCACATGCTGCAGCATCGAGGCTATACAACTCCGCTGTCTGGTTACAAACCTCCCTCAGAAAGCTCTACGTTTTTTGATTTCCTCCTTCTCCTGCACTCCGAACCGAAATGAAGGAATTTACCCGTTTGTTCTGAAGTCTTTTTTACGCACAGAAATGTCTCGGCTGACTTTCTCCCGCGTCGAGTGAAGGCGGCAACTCCTGCAGCATCCTCTATAAAAAAGAAAGAAAATAAATCACCTTAACTTCTTTTTGTTGGTGCACATCTCAGACGGGACATTGATAAGGCACAGGCTGAATACATGGATAATAACGCTGCAAACTCGGAGAAATCGCAACTGATACACGAGAAGAGTGCGAAAATGTATTCTTTAAAACTACAAAGGTGGGTTTTGCATGGTTGTAGAATAATGCTGCATGTGGGGGAAACCCTGCAAAGTTACCTGTACCAACCCAATGTCATACACTTAAAGAAATACATATTTAAAAATCAACATAACTATTTATCCAGGTAAAGTTGAAAGACATTGGAAAATAAGAAGTTTTTTTTCTGGGATTTCTGCAGGATGTTTGTTGCTGTGTGTGTGTTTTACATCGTGTGTGTGCTACGTTGTTACCGTGGTGCATTTGAAGCAGGCTGCCGCTCTTGCAGGCTGTTTTATGTGAATGAACAAATTCATTTCCATGCTTGGCTTGTTTCTGGACAGCCTGTGACAAATGGCCCCGGGTTCAGTTCACTGAGCGGTGCTAAAACCCATCATCTGTCATTAGAGAGGAGCTCTGCGTGGAGGAAACAGGAAAAACATTATTTACATGGAAGTGTTTGTACCTGCACCTGAAGGCAACACCAAAACATCCACAGAGGTTTATTACCTGTAATGTGTGTATTTGATTCAAATGAGTGGCACACATATTTATAAAGAAATTGACCATCCCAACATTTTTTTTCATTATTCAAATAGTATGTTATTTCGAGAAAAATCATGTTCGTTAAACACGACAGAAATCTTCCTGCAAATCTAACAGTTTGTATACGTGCTAACTAATACGTGTGCATTAAGGAGCTATCATTATAAAAACATAGACTAAAATGGAAACCGTTTTAAAGTTAGAATAAATTGAATAATATCAAATACATAACAAATAAAAACGAATAATGAAATGAAGGAACCTGTGCAGTTTTTCGTCTCCGAATATCGCAACTACATGAAAACAAAAATACATTCTGCAAGTCTGAAGCTTAATTTGTTTAACACGAAACTAGCTGCTGCAGAAACACAACCACTAACACTCTCAGTGCTACTTTTAACATGGGAAGTATCGGCATGCATGCATGGGATAAATACGGTTAAATGAAGGAAAATTATGTTTTAACTTCATATTTCATTATCATTATTCGGCCTCCAGATGTGTTCATGCGTCTGATCAATAACTGGTTTCATATCAGCTGCTTCTCACTTTTAAAGCCGATCCTAAAAATGTCACGCGTAATTAGCATGAGAAAGAGGAGGGAAAAATATGATGTTCATTATTATCAGTGTTTTTCCTCCAGACATTTAGGCCTCGGAAAAATCACCATCACCAGGATAAAACATCATTTCTAGAAATGTAAAAAAAAACATTATTATGGTTTAGAGGGGCGATGGGGGGTTGTGTTTGCTGCGCGTGTGCTTGTGCGCGTCAGTGCGTGTGGTTGGGTATGTGTGTGCGCGTGTGTGTGTTAGTTTGTGAGGGAGAGAGAGAGATGTGCATATGGCATCACATTTGCGATTTCATGCACCATTTGCACTGAGTGTGTTTGTGTGTGTGTGTGTGTGTGTGTGTGTGTGTGTGTGTGTGTGTGTGTGTGTGTGTGTTTACTGTGTGATCTTCAGCATGTTTCCCAGCTGGCAGCAGCAGCCAAGTGGTTTAAGTGACATCCTTGTTCACACGAAGGCCCCAAATATAAAAGAGAATAATATTTATATATGGTTTTTTCAAAATCTGTCACATGTGTTGTACCACTTGAGATGAGGCATTGCTTATACATAGTTTTTAGAACATATACATTTAATAAAAGTAAATTATATCACTTTGTATTAATGATTTATAGATAGGTCAATTAATCAATTAGTCAACCAACAGACCAAACATTGGCCACCACTAACTATTTTAGGGATTGTTTCTCTTTGTCAAGCCATTTGCAAAAGTGTGTAAGTCATACAAGTTATAAATATATTATGTTATTAATAAATACTACTTATTCATCCAGCCTGTATTTGGGCATTTTGAGTTAGAAAATGGTGCAATTAATGATTATTTTAATTAATTAATTTACCACATGATTCATTTTTCACATGTCAACAATTGTAAGAAATGCCAAGATGATGCGTTCAAATGTCTTGTTTTCTCTAAACCTTCACTCATCAACCTAAAGATATTCAGTTTACAAAGACAGACAATTAAAATGTGTTAATGTATATGTTTGTTCTTCAATTTGGGGAAAGCATGAGGGTGTTGCTAAAAAATGCAACGATCATCCTTGTTATTGCGGGGGAAACCTCTGAAGCAATTGGAGTCAGGACTCAGAGAGACACAGGGAGAGCTGGAGCTTTGATGGCAAACACTGATGGGTTTATTTAGGAGCTTCGGCCGGAGAATTCACAAAACATGTCAAAGAGTCAGAGGTTCTGACTTCACGGTAGAGTTGCCACGTCAATTCTGAAGAACTCTACCCCAGAACCGTGTATTTAGCTAGTTCAGAGAGAATAATCAACATTGAGCATAACAAGATAGAATCATAACACCTCTATCAGCTGACGCCAACAGGCAGGAACAGGGAGACAAAACACTGAGAGCACAGCAGCCAAGGTTACAGGTGCGTGTGCTCAGTCAGGGCAGTATGCACTGATAAACTGGGCCAAAGTTATGGGCATTGGGACATATTTCAGTTATATTTGGGAAGAACGTTTTTTGCTTTTTCAATTTGACTTTGTTGTCAAATTGCAATAATCACGCTTACATGTCGAAATGCATGATGGGATACATGTGCTGTCAGCTTCATGCGAGTAAGCAACTGATGCACCCTCAGTAAAATGAGCCATAACAGAATAATAATGCATTAATACATCACATTTAAAGGTACTTATGTACATCGTTGTCATTGATAAACAGCGCCATGCATTCTTTATGCTAAGCTAAGCTAACCAGCTGCTGGCTAATTCTTATTAATTACCGCTCAAATATGAGAGTCGTGTTAATTATCTCATCTAACTCACAGCGAATAAAGTCAATTCGCGTATTTCCCTAAATGTGGAATATAAAAGAAACACTATATAAAACAATACATATTTTTTAAGAATTAAGTTTGATTTGACAAATGATTTTAGTTTTCTTAAAATAGTTTTCTATCTGTGTTTTTGACGTTTGTTTCATTTGTATGTATGCACCACGACACCAAGTCAAATTCCTCGTATGTGTCAACCTGGTGATAAACCTGTTTCTGATTCTGAAAGGACGGATATTTTTGTGTTATGGGCTAAAATAAAAACAGCAATGATAACATCATTCCTCTCTGCATCATCATCACTTTTGCTCGTCTATTAAAGCAACCGGACCAAACCTAATTCATGGAACGATAACCCATTTGATCGTCTCTGTTCTGCAGCAGATCGTGGTTCCTCCCTGCAGGCGTGGTTGTGTCGGATGCATCAAGTTTTGCTCTGAGCTCTGACAGACTGCAGCTGTAATTAAATGCTGGATGGTTATTGTTTCAGTCTCTTCGTTTCATATCATTTCACACACCAGCGAATCTCCCTCAGGTCTCAGGAGTGTCCACACACACACACACACACACACACACACACACACACACACCTGCCCTGCAGTGCATCGACTCACAGTAACAGCACACTGTTGTTGTTCTGCTCCCCAAGAACTTAATGCAGCGGGTAATACACACCTGATAGAAGAGGATGACTTCTGCAGAAAACCGCCATTAAATATCCGTCATAAGGCCATAACCATTAAGCTCTTTGTAGCTTCATCAGAGAGGTTGATTCAGCAGTTGTGTTAGGGTTGTTGAGAGATAACGCACGAGGAAGCAGATTATCAGCGATGTTCAGGAACATTTTCTGCATGAGCTGCTGTGTGATTGGAAGCAGGGATCGATGGAATGGAAATCTGTCGTCCAAGTAATTTACCAAGAACTATGTATGGAAGAAAATGTACTTACGATAAGTGTATCGACTAATTTCAAGATTCAAAGGTTGTTTTCTAATGATATGAGAGCTATGGCGTTGTTGTTGGAATTGAAAATCTGAAGTCTCACGCTCGTATAATTGAAGCTCTTTAAGCCCTAAGGCCCCATTCTGCTGGATTTCAGGTTCATATTTGTATTTTTATTTTGCTTTAATGTTCAAAAAACTCTTTATTTTTCTCATACAGCACCTCTTTTCACCCTCTGTCTGAAACCAGAGCCCAGTCTGCTCTGATTGGTTAGCTGGCCGGCTCTGTTGTGATTGGTCAACCGCTTAGAGATGTCCCGGCCCTTAGCCCTATCACGTACAATGTGTCAGAGCGCTAGCCAATAGCAGCGCAAGTGTTACAATGTGATGTCACTATGTTAATGGAGGCTATATATACGTATATACACAATGTGTGTGTGTGCTCCTATTTCCCAGAGGTCTATTTGAACAGAATCCGTTTTTATACTTTGCTGATTCTTTTCAGCATGCATATCCCCTAAGGTGTGTGTGTGTGTGTGTGTGTGTGTGTGTGTGTGTGTGTGTGTGTGTGTGTGTGTGTGTGTGTGTGTGTGTGTGTGTGTGAGAGAGAGAGAGAGATAAAGGCTACAGTAATGAAACACTGGTAATCTCCCAAGTGAAGTGTGTGAGATAAAGTGTGTGTGTGTGTGTGTGTGTGTGTGTGTGTGTGTGTGTGTGGTTATCTCAAGTGAGACCAAATTAGTTTTTTTCCACCTCATTAGCCACATCATCCCCCTCACTGCACACAGCAAGAATGACAACCTGGGTGTGTGTGTATGTGTGTCTATGGAAGTGTGTGTGTGTGTGTGTGTGTGTGTGTGTGTGTGTGTGTGTGTGTGTGTGTGTGTGTGTGTGTGTGTGTGTGTGTGTGAGCAAAATAGAGAAGTCAGCATTTTGTTTGGTTCTCGTGATTGAAATCCAGCTCTGTGTGTTTAGAGGTGAGTAACATGTGTAATCCCCAGGAGAAACATACTGTAACCAGATGTGATCCTGTAAGAGAACTTTACACAACAATTGATCAATAATACAATCACTTTAGAGGTTAATATAAACACATTTCTGCAGTAAAAGAACAGAGAGCAGGAAACTGTGAGGCAAATCAGAAACAGCTTCAGTGAACCCTGCAGAAATAAGACATAAACAAAGTGTGTAATTCTCAAAGCTCGCACACATAGGGACATGCACCACTGACTGCGCTGCCAAGCAAATAGCATCATGGCACTGCTGTGCAATTTGCAGTATTTAAATCAGGTAATACTGTATGCATACATTTGGTGTAAAATTGCCCCCCCTATGCAAATGAACCTCATTGCAAAACCAGTCATAAGCTCATAAAGATAAGCGCTAATAGCCACACTCAGCTGCAGTGAAACTATAAGCGTTTTCAGAGAGATAGTGATAAAGAACGACACATAAAACATTTGTACCGATAGACTGAGATATTAAATGTAATATAGGGTTTGTATTATCATGTCTAAATTCCTCGCTTGAAGTTTTGAAGAACGCCTCTACATCTCGTCGATAACAAACTTCAGCTTGTGTTGTGAAAATGCTTATTTCTGACTACTGTGTTCTTCGTGCAAAAGCAACATTTGTATTTGCCACATTGATTGCAATTAGTTTGCACTTTAATATCATTAGCGCATGACCTTTTAGCGGTTGCAACTGAGGTGCAATCAATTCTTTGTGAAGTAAACCGTGAAATGAGTCTGCTACATTACTATCTAACATCTCTGTCATGATCTTAGTGTTATGTCACGGTTTTAGTTTTGTCTGTCTTGTAATGGGTTTTATTTTGCTATTCTGTTTTCCTTCCTGTGTTTTTCCTCCTGTGTCTGATTGTCTCATTGTGTTCACATGTTGTGTTTCTGCCTCCCTTACCCAGCTGTGTCTTGTCCTGTGATTACCCCTCTTTGTATTTAGTCTTGTCTTCCCCTGTGTTCCTTGTCGGTTCATTGTCTTTCCTGTCTCCCTCCATGTTGGTCACGGACAGTTTTGGTTTTGTTGCTACCTTGTGCTATCTATGTGTTCCATGCCATGTTTTTGTTCATCAGCTTTTAAAATAAAGCTCGCTTTTTGTTTCTAGACCTTTTTACCTTTTTTTGTAGTCTGCATTTGGGTCCTACCTTTTTCCATGCATTCTAACAATCTCTTAGCCACTATCTAGCCAATATCTAAACAACTATAGGATGGATTCCCATGATATGTTGTACACACAGTCATAGTGACAACAAAATGTATCCCTCTTACTTTGGTGATCCTCTGACGTTCTCTTCTGTGCCAACATGAGGTGGACTTTTTGGGTTTTTGAGTAAAATGTTCCAATATCTATTGGATGGATTGCTATGAAACTTTTGTACGGATATGCACACCTCTCTTAGGATGAGGTAAGATTGAATCACAACTTTAGGGATACCCTGAATTTTCTTTTAGCCCCATCATCAGATCAAGATCAATTTAGCATGTTAGCATTGATTGATTCTTACCTTGTTACCATACTATCGATAGCATTTAGCTCAACGCAGCTCTGTGCCTAGTGCAGCGTCACATAGATAAAACGGTCTGCTGAATATTAATCTGGTTTCACACTTTCTTCATCTGTCTTGAAGATTTGAATATCATCGCTGTGAAATGTGTGATAATTATTAAATAGATTAGATCGAAAGGAAGCTAGCCAACACGTACCATTGGGCTAAACTTGGGCTTACTTTATTTGAGAAGTGGATGTAAAGTTAGAGTCTTTGTGACACTAAAATATAGCAAAGAATCACGTAGGAGCAGCAGCTAAATGTGACCTTGATGTCTAATAATGCACCTTTCTGCTACGTATTAACCTCGATGTCTAAATGCAAATCACCAAATATGCTGAGGAGTTTTATTTCTTCTTACTGTCACCTTTCATCGATTTCACCTGCTTCCCATTTACTGGATGACTCGTCTCGCCATTCTTCCACTTCAGTGAACATTGATTGTGATCCACTTTGTCAGCAGGAGATCTGCTTGCACTAAGTGGAGCTCTCCCAAACAAAACTGTGCTCTGTGGCAACATTTACTCCAAATAATCCATTGACTCAATGCCTTATACTTACTGTAGTAAACAGGGGCAGGAACTCCCTTTGAACACAGGGATGTTAGCCTTTGCAGACTGTTTACACGCACTAAAACCTATAGAACACACTTCAGGAAGAGACAAACCCTAAAGCATTATAGGGCCTCTTGGAAGTTAGTACCAATGGTCTTCTGGCAATGTGTTTTGTTGACACTGAGAATGCCAAACGAACAAATCATTGCAAAAGTTAAAGTTGACTCAATGACAGATAAAACATTTTAATGAGCGATCTGAACCTCCTGCATCGTCTCAAGAAAAACAGTCTATAAATCGGCATATTTGCAGATAGAGTCGTGTTGGCACCAAAAGTGATTTCCCCAATGACCTACTGTATAGTATATTGATTCACTGTCCACAGTTCTGCCATTACTAACAGTTGGTGCCATCACAAAAGCGTTTTGGCCTAACGCAGCGTCCACACGGCGGCGTGCGTTGAAGCTTGCCGGTGAGCTTGTCTGAAACTCGACCAACAACCAATCGCATGAATCTCCCGCCCCGGACACACAAGCACGCGGTTTGATTGGCTAGAGCTTGTACTGGCATATGATTTGATTGGCTGACGCTTCCGCCGAAGCTTCAAAAGTTGAACATTGCTCAGCTTTTGAAGCGAAGCGACGCTCCCACAATGCAGTTCGGCAAAGCTTGACGTCACCCCATTCAAAGTGAATGGGCAGAAGCGTTGAAGCTTCAACGCACGCCGCCGTGTGGACGGGCCGTTAGTCTCTATTATCTTGTGGAAGTAATAGTCTTGATTATGAACCTTTAGGGAGCTTTAAAAACAGTTTTAATGGAAAGGATTGACCATCTTCATGATCATACCTTTTGTCCTCCCAGCAGCTCCTTTCCAGACTCCAAAGAGCAGTATCCAGACTCCAAAGAGCAGTATCCAGACTCCAAAGAGCAGTATCCAGACTTCCCATTCAAGAACGGAGGCATGCCGGGGGCCATGGAGCTGAAGCGGCCCGCGGGGGCGCACTGCCACGGGAAACAGAAGCTGGCATGTGAGGAGAGCGGAGACCGGATGCTGGCCAAGAAGAAACTCTACATCGCCTCAGCCGTCTGCCTCGTCTTCATGATCGGAGAGGTCATAGGTAAAGATTAGAAGATCAAACCTTAAAACACTATGAGAGAGGTCATAGGTAACATTTAGAAGATCAAACCTTAAAACACAGAAAAGAGAGGGGTCAGACGTATTTTTTTTTTTAACAGAAGAGATTGTATAACAACTTTGGCGATACCCTGAATTGTCTTTTAGCCCCATCATCAGATCAAGATCAAGTTAGCATGTTCGCGTTGATTGATTCTTACCCTGTTAACATACTAACGTTAGCATTTAGCTCAAAGCAGCTCTGTGCCTATGAGCAGCTTCACAGAGCTAATACTGTCTGCTGAATAGTAATCTGGTGTTACACTTTATTTGTCTGTGTTGAAGATTGTTATATAATGGCTATGAGAGGTGCAGTCGGAGAGGTCATAGGTAAAGATTAGAAGATCAAACCTTAAAACAAAGAGAAGAGAGAGGTCAGACGCATTGTTTGGTTGGTAAAGATGTTTCTTACATGCATGTGTTTTGGCACATTTGTGTTTTTATATTTACATTGTTATTTGAAACTACAGCGAGTTTTCTCTAATGTAAATGTTTTGGCCATCGTACTGAGGCTCTCTTCACATCTGCAAACTAAAATAAACAAAGCTGAATCATTGCGTGGGAGGTAATGACCTTACTGATAAAAATAAGTCAAAGTTAATCTCCTGTCTCAAGTTTCTTTCACAGGTTAGGTAAACTTTACCACAATCCCCACATACACACAATGTATAACAAGTAAACTCTTTAAAAACTTGCTGACAGGGAGTGTGTCCTGAACTGTGAACACAACCTTTAATAACACCTACAGAGTGTGAGCCGTTTAAAGGTTTATTAACTTGTAATTTGATGCAGCTACAAAGCGTGTTATGTTCCTGATTACACCTTTAATGCCTCAGGTAACAGAGATGTAATATTATTTTATTACGTCGTAAAACATCTGAGAAATCAGACAATATATTTAAAGCACCCTTTCATAGTCTTCACAATACAAAAAAGTTTTAAGCTGTTCAGAGAGATGGGACTCATGACTTCAGTACTGCTGTATTTCCATTATGAGGACATCAATAATAACAAACTAAAAAAACAAATTAGAATTAGTAATGTTTTAAAACAGTTTGTCGCATCCAATTTATATTTTGTATAAGCTAATAATCTGAATCTGTAAAGTAACGAATGAAGTATAAAGTACCATATTGACACTTTAAAGGTCACCTATTATGCAAAATCCACTTCTTCATGTCTCTTCTACATCAACATGTGTCCCCTCTTCTTCATGTCTCTTCTACATCAACATGTGTCCCCTCTTCTTCATGTCTCTTCTACATCAACATGTGTCCCCTCTTCTTCATGTCTCTTCTACATCAACATGTGTCCCCTCTTCTCCATGTCTCTTCTACATCAACATGTGTCCCCTCTTCTCCATGTCTCTTCTACATCAACATGTGTCCCCACTTCTTCATGTCTCTTCTACATCAACATGTGTCCCCACTTCTTCATGTCTCTTCTTCATCAACATGTGTCCCCTCTTCTTCATGTCTCTTCTACATCAACATGTGTCCCCTCTTCTCCATGTCTCTTCTACATCAACATGTGTCCCCCTCTTCTCCATGTCTCTTCTACATCAACATGTGTCCCCTCTTCTTCATGTCTCTTCTACATCAACATGTGTCCCCCTCTTCTCCATGTCTCTTCTACATCAACATGTGTCCCCTCTTCTTCATGTCTCTTCTACAATCAACATGTGTCCCCCTCTTCTCCATGTCTCTTCTACATCAACATGTGTCCCCACTTCTTCATGTCTCTTCTACATCAACATGTGTCCCCACTTCTTCATGTCTCTTCTTCATCAACATGTGTCCCCTCTTCTTCATGTCTCTTCTACATCAACATGTGTCCCCTCTTCTCCATGTCTCTTCTACATCAACATGTGTCCCCTCTTCTCCATGTCTCTTCTACATCAACATGTGTCCCCTCTTCTTCATGTCTCTTCTACATCAACATGTGTCCCCTCTTCTCCATGTCTCTTCTACATCAACATGTGTCCCCTCTCCCTTCATGTCTCTTCTACATCAACATGTGTCCCCTCTTCTTCATGTCTCTTCTACATCAACATGTGTCCCCTCTTCTTCATGTCTCTTCTACATCAACATGTGTCCCCTCTTCTCCATGTCTCTTCTACATCAACATGTGTCCCCACTTCTTCATGTCTCTTCTTCATCAACATGTGTCCCCTCTTCTTCATGTCTCTTCTACATCAACATGTGTCCCCTCTTCTCCATGTCTCTTCTACATCAACATGTGTCCCCTCTTCTCCATGTCTCTTCTACATCAACATGTGTCCCCTCTTCTTCATGTCTCTTCTACATCAACATGTGTCCCCTCTTCTTCATGTCTCTTCTACATCAACATGTGTCCCCTCTTCTTCATGTCTCTTCTACATCAACATGTGTCCCCTCTTCTTCATGTCTCTTCTACATCAACATGTGTCCCCCTCTTCTCCATGTCTCTTCTACATCAACATGTGGTCCCCTCTTCTTCATGTCTCTTCTACATCAACATGTGTCCCCTCTTCTCCATGTCTCTTCTACATCAACATGTGTCCCCTCTTCTTCATGTCTCTTCTACATCAACATGTGTCCCCTCTTCTTCATGTCTCTTCTACATCAACATGTGTCCCCTCTTCTTCATGTCTCTTCTACATCAACATGTGTCCCCTCTTCTTCATGTCTCTTCTACATCAACATGTGTCCCCTCTTCTCCATGTCTCTTCTACATCAACATGTGTCCCCTCTTCTTCATGTCTCTTCTACATCAACATGTGTCCCCTCTTCTCCATGTCTCTTCTACATCAACATGTGTCCCCTCTTCTTCATGTCTCTTCTACATCAACATGTGTCCCCTCTTCTTCATGTCTCTTCTTCATCAACATGTGTCCCCTCTTCTTCATGTCTCTTCTACATCAACATGTGTCCCCTCTTCTTCATGTCTCTTCTACATCAACATGTGTCCCCTCTTCTTCATGTCTCTTCTTCATCAACATGTGTCCCCTCTTCTTCATGTCTCTTCTACATCAACATGTGTCCCCTCTTCTTCATGTCTCTTCTACATCAACATGTGTCCCCTCTTCTTCATGTCTCTTCTACATCAACATGTGTCCCCTCTTCTTCATGTCTCTTCTACATCAACATGTGTCCCCTCTTCTTCATGTCTCTTCTACATCACCATGTGTCCCCTCTGTGTAAAGAGACTCTGAAAGTTTCAGGAACAAAGATTCTCTCTCTTTTTTGTCCTGATCCATTTCTATAAAAACCTGTCTGAAAATGAGCTGATCAGATTTTGGCCACTTTATGATGTCATAACGATGTTTTGTCTTGTGTAACCATTAGCCAATCAGCAACCAAGGCCCCCCCCCCACCTTATCACCTGAATCTCCTCCTAGAGCACCATTGAGTTCTTTGTAACCAAATCTCTCTCAGAGGGGCGTGGGGAGGGGCTCCTTATTTTCATCTAAAGTAACAGACAGAGAATCAGCACTTTTGAAACAGGGCTGAAACAGAGGGGATTATGGGATGCTGCAATGATCTGTTTGGTGTTTCGAACACTTCAGAGACATGTTTGTACATATCTGAGACCTGTGATATATTGATGAAAAACAGTATAATAGGGGACCTTTAAGTAATAAATAGTCGTATTTTATAACAGTACTCATGTTATTTCCTGCAGGAGGCTACCTGGCCCACAGCCTGGCCATCATGACGGACGCGGCCCACCTCCTCACAGACTTTGGCAGCATGATGGTGAGCCTGTTCTCCCTCTGGATCTCCTGCAGACCCCCGACCAAAACCATGAACTATGGCTGGCACAGATCAGGTCAGTGACTAACAGTGTAAAAGGCAATCAGAGGATAAGACTATATGTTTTAATGATAATTTGACACGACAGTCAGAACCAGCGACCAAACCTCTGAGATGTTTGGACGGATGAATGATTTAGGACATTCATTTAACAATATATGAGTTTAAGAGTGACTGAATAACAGTAAAAACAGGCCTTGGTTACAATGCTGAATCTGTTTATGTAATATTGATGTTTTCCAGCTTGTTCAAACTGCATTACATACTTATTTTTCTTGATTTGAAGGTAGCGTTGATCAACATGTTGACATTTTCAGATATACAGTGATGCATATGTCACTTTCCTTTCCTTAAAGGGATTGTTTGAAGCGGTGTAGTATTAGCTTCTTATACATAGTGAGTGTAATACCTACAGTAGATTGGAAAGAGTCAGAACTCTTAGAGTGGCCTTTCTAGTAATTGAACATAACATTCAAGCATATAATAGAGCACATTTCTTATTATCCAGCACAAAAGCCCCAATTTACTGCATCGAGACACATAAATATCTCTATATAAACCTAATTTGACCTGGGCACAGACTATATGAAGAGAGATGAGAGATTAAGGAGATTCATTTATCATCTACAAAGAGAAAGATCCTTAGGACAAAATCTAACTGGAATAACTCAATTAATATCCAGAGTTCTGTATTTGAGAGCCCCCATGTATGTGAATAGGCACTTGTAGCAAGATTTGTGACCTTAACTGCACTTTTAAGTACATTTACACTGATTAGTAACTATACAAACTAAAAATAAGCGACATTGATAGCTGTCACTGGTTTGAAGTTGAAGCCTTTTCTCTGAGGGATTGTGTCTGTTATTTAACTTAATATCCCGCAGCGATGCTCAGATAGAGGTGTGTGTTCAGTCCTGTGATGAAGTGTGTTTCTGTACAAAGTGATTAAGATGCCTCTCTCTCCCCCTCAGAGATCCTCGGGGCGTTCATCTCAGTGATTTCCATCTGGATCGTGACGGGGGCTCTGGTGTATTTAGCCATCGAGAGGATCGTCAGAAACGACTATGAGATTGATGGCCACGTAATGTTGGTGACCTCGGGGTGCGCCGTCATCGTCAACATAATGTGAGAGAGGCTCGGTCTAATGGGTGTTAATATCAAGCATTAAAGGTCTCCTATTACGCTATTTTTAGGCATATATTATGGGTCTCAGATATATACAAATATATAAAAAACATGTCTATGAGGTGTTTTGCTCAAAATACCAAACAGATCATGCATTTGAGACATCCCTCATATCCCTCTGTTTCAGCCGTGTTAGAGAAATGCTGATCTGGGTCCTTAGCTTAAAAAAAAAAAAAAAGAGGAGGCGGAGCTAATGCCTGATCAGAATTCTACGAGATACTCAGCTAAATGCTGCTGTGATTAAACGCCACTATGTTCCAAACCACATCAAGGATTATTTCTGAAACAGTATGGAGCTCAAATGCTTTTTCTTTTGCGGGTTTACCACAAGGTGAGTTCCTTTTTTTATTTCCTGCTTCTTTACACATACTCTCTCCAGTACAGGTTAGCTCAGAGTGTTAGCAATGCTTGCTAATGTAAACAAAGACCATATTACGTTCAAAACACGTCGTGCATTGTTTCTGATAGCAACGTTTCTGATAGGGCCGTGGGTGTAAAGCCAGCCTACATTTCAGATATTACGTCATATCGGACGCAAATCTGGATCAGCTCTGTTGTAGGCCCGTTTTTAGAGATTTGGGTACGAAGGGAAAGAGAGAGGGTTTTGTTTTCTGACACTTTGTGAGTTCCCTGACACACCGTGGACACATATTTATGTATAAAAGACATGATCTGTTTGGTATTTCAAGTCAAACACTTCAGAGACATGTTTTGTATATATCTGAGACCTATAATATATTGATGAAAAACAGTATAATAGGGGACCTTTAAGAATCAAACTACTTCATGTTCCCAATTTTGTTAATTTCCTTTCTTCTCAGGAATAAAGAAATCAATCCAAGTACTTACCTCTCTTTCTCTCTGTCTCCCTGCAGCATGGCCTACATCCTGCACCACTCCACCACCTTCCACTCTCACGGCAGCGGGTACCAGCAGATCGAGGAGGGGGGTCGCAGCCCCGCGGCTCACGGTCACTCCCACGCTCTGCTAGGGGGGGGCCACAGCAACACCAGCGTCCGCGCAGCCTTCATCCACGTGGTGGGAGACCTCCTGCAGAGCGTGGGCGTCATGGTGGCCGCCATCATCATCTACTTTCGGGTCAGATATAGATCGTGCTGTTATGTTAAATGTTTGTTGTTCATGTATTGTGTCTTAGTATCTGTCTATGTTGATGTTACAAATGGAGCTGCTGTGATTAGGGATGTCCCGATCACCTTTTTTTGCTCCCGATCCGATTCCGATCATTTGATTTTGACAATCTGCCGATACCGATTTTTCCCGATCCGATCTTTATGCAATGCATTAAAAGAAAAAAAAGGTAACAGATAACGGCTGGTCATCCAACGCGATGAATTCTTGGCTGCTATATTTTTGGCCTTTTCACTGTTCTGGGGCAGTTTCTCCTTCCTTTTAAAAGTCTCTGAAAGTGTCGGTTGTTTCAGTGCCGTTACCTGAGTGGCCGCTGTGTACTCGTCGTGTTGTTGTTGGTGTTTGTTTCTCAGGTGGCGTATTAGATTGGTCGTGTTGAACGTAGCTCTGTTCTTTCCACCACGCGGAACCTCCGCCTTGCAAACATTGCATCTGGCTGTTACACTGCCTTCGCTTTCAATTTTATAATACTTCCAAACTCCTGACATTTTCTCTGTCCCGACTCCCGAGTCACCAGCTGAACGTAGCCTCTTGTTAGCTTACTGCTACTATTAGACACGTCGCCCTGCCCACTATGTTGCCAGATTTGAGAGAAATAAGCAACCAGGTCTATGAAAACAAGCCCAAAAGAAGCAACACATACATGATGTTGTGTAATTTTAAACCAAAACTAAGGCCTCAGGATGACTTTAAGACGTGAACATGGTCATTTTTGTTTTGTAACATTAAATAAAATAATAAAAATATTTTATAAAAAAAAAAAAAAAAATCCCGATCCCCGATTTTTTTCTCCCGATTCCGATCTTTTGAAAATCACGTGATCGGCCCCGATCCCCGATCACGTGATCGGATCGGGACATCTCTAGCTGTGATGCAAGTCACATTTCAGACTTGATCAGACCATGAAAGTATTATCGTAACGTAGTCAGGTTAGGGTGAGGCCGAGGTGTCAGAGTGAAGATATCTGGAACGATAGCTATCTATATGATACATTGCAATACACGATGTTACAATATGTTATCATACAATATGTTATCATACAATATGATACGATCCAATATGATACGATCCAATATGATACGATCCAATAAGATACGATCCAATATGATACGATCCAATATGATACGATCCAATAAGATACGATCCAATATGATACGATCCAATATGATACGATCCAATATGATACGATCCAATATGATACGATCCAATAAGATACGATCCCATATGATACGATCCAATAAGATACGATCCAATATGATACGATCCAATAAGATACGATCCAATAAGATACGATCCAATATGATACGATCCAATATGATACGATCCAATATGATACGATCCCATATGATACGATCCAATAAGATACGATCCAATATGATACGATCCAATAAGATACGATCCAATATGATACGATCCAATAAGATACGATCCAATATGATACGATCCAATAAGATACGGTCCAATAAGATACGGTCCAATAAGATACGGTCCAATAAGATACGATCCAATAAGATACGATCCAATAAGATACGATCCCATATGATACGATCCCATATGATACGATCCAATATGATACGATCCCATATGATACGGTACGATACAATACGGTACGATATGATACAAAATTATACGGTACGATGCTATAAGACATGATTTGTTTACAGTATGATAAGATATAATACCATATGTTTAGATATGATACGATACAATATATGAAACGATAGATAAAATAAGATACGATATAACAATAGAATAGATGATATGATACAATACAATACAATCTTAGACAGTATAATTTGAGACGATACAATCCAATATGAAACAATTCGATACAACACGTTACAATACAATACGATAAAATCTGTACATATATAAATGCAGTTTGATGTTATTGCTCCTTTAATATGACACAATATTAAACATTCTTTTCACATCAGCAGCTCCATTGGCAACATCAACAAGGACAAATATTTAAAACATGAAACAAGAGAACAGACAACATTTTCAAGACCCTTAAACGTACATTTAATAAAAACCTAAACATAATACAGACTTATATTATGAAGCAGTTTGACTTAAAGGGGACCTATCATGCAAAATGCACTTTTGTACGTCTTTTATACATGAATATGTGTCCCCGGTGTTCCAGGGAACTCACCAAGTGTCAGAAAACACAACCCTCTCTATTTTCCTCCATACCCAAATCTCTAAAAAAGGGGCTGCACACGGATCTGATAAAAACTGATCCAGATTTGAACACTGTCCTGACGTCAGGACGGTGGCGCTACGGCTATTGGGCCAACTCCACCAATCAGGAGGAGACAGCCACGGCCATTGCCGTTCGAAAGCGCTGGAGACGCTGTAGTACATATGCCAGGCCTGTAGGTGGTGCTGTTCTCACTGAATCAGCCCTTGCACAAACAGAGCTAGAAATTGTCAAATTGAGCAAAATGAGGCATGGCTAAAATGCATGATCTGTTTGGTATTTTGAAAAACAAAAAAAGTATAAATATGCCTTATATAGGTATGGTCCTACACTATATTATTCAAATATAGCATGATAGGTCCACTTTAAATAATCCTGGTGTTCGACAGAATTTGGAGTAGTTTATTGTATTAACACCGTCTTGCTAAAATTACATTCCAAAAACTTCACTTCACTTAAATCAGTTTTTGAAAGAGCATCAATCCCAAGTGTTTAAGTGTTTATTTTGAAAGGGGTACAATCTTCCGTCATCATGCAAGATGTTCCCTTTTCTTTCTGCCCCGGAGCTCTTTAAAAGCCGCTGAGTGAGGAAAACACCATCTGATGTCACTCTCCTCTCAGATCTTTAACGTCTCCTCTTAGATCTTTAAAGTCTACATCACCTCGTCTGGTTTCTCTTTCAGCCCGAGTATAAAGTGGCAGATCCCATCTGTACGTTCCTGTTCTCCATCTTCGTCCTCTTCACCACCATCACCATCCTCAGAGACGTCTTCAGGATACTCTTGGAAGGTACCTCACCTGGAGATCAATATTATCCGTGGGAAACGTTCCTTTGTTTTCTAATCTTTTTTAAATGTTTAGAGGAACATCGAGAAAATGTTATCTTCTACTGAAGTCTATGTTAAGTGCCTCGATAAACATTAATCTGTTTGTCATCTTGCAATTTACTTATTTATCTAAATAGTTATCAGCGTAATACACCGTATTTAATTTCATCCAACTGTACAATATTTAATTTTACATTCTGTTCTTGCATATCATATTCTATTTACGTGTATATAGACTTCTTGCACTATTTTTTATTTGTATTTTTGTATTTTAGTATATATGTTCATCGTTTGAGGAGCTCGGGTCATAAGATGTTCATTGTCATTTCTCCACTGTAGCTTTGTGCATATGACATTAAAACCTTTGAATTGAATTGAATGTGGATAAAGCTTTTAACACAATAGCCAACAAGTCAAGTGGTAGTTTACCGTCTGGTAGTTAAACAAATCCACCTTCTACCAGTCTCCTTAAGCTTAATAATTAACCCAATATGTCTTCTTTAATCTTAATAAAAACTGTGCAGAACGCATGGCAGAATCACAGGAAGTCACTACACCCAACTAGGAGTATTAACACCTTGAAAAACACAAATATCAATAAGGTTTGATGAAGATATAAGACGTGAGGTTTACAGTTGCTGATAGGTGACTTTTGTAACAGAGCAAGGCTAGCTAAGTCTTTATGCTAAGCTAGGCTAGCCAGCACATGGATCAAAATGTGGAATTAAGCCTTTACGATTTCTCATAATCTGAAGGGTTATTTATGACCTGAACACATTAATGTTTTCTCGCCTGCAGACAAGATCAAGCTGTCCACTTTCAACCCAATCCCACAAGCTCAACATCATGTTTCTGTGCATTCATGACTATATTTGGCCGGCTTTTTTTAATTAAATGTAGGCAAGCAGGGCTCACCTAAAATAACACACACATGCCACCAAGATTAAACTAAGTGCGGAGAATTTATGTGACACTTTCAGGTTTCTGCTTAACAAATAACAGACACAGATGGTCATAACCCAGGGACGTCTAAAGACTTTTGGGACGTTTTTAAAACTCTTTTTACTTCACTGAACTTCCTCAAGATGACCCCCTGAGGCCTCTTAACAACATTTAGTAACGACAGAAACGGCGTTAATGAGCAACATTATGGGAATAGAGAACACTCATTATAGAATATAGAATATAGAATAGAATATAGAATAGGGAGGGATGAAACCCTCTTTAATGGTCACACATGCAGAGCACACAGTGAAATTTGGCCTCTGCTTTTAACCCATCCTAGTACAAGGAGTCTAGTACTAGGAGCAGTGGGCAGCTATTGTACAGCGCCCGGGGAGCAAATGGGAGTGGGGGGGAAGGGGGGTGTCCGGTGCCTTGCTCAAGGGCACCACGGCAGGGCAGGAGGTGAACTGGGACCTCTCCAAGTAGAAGTCCACACTCCATATTTTAGGTCTGGTCGGGGACTTGAACCAGCGACCCTACGGCTCCCAGTCCAAGCCCCTACTGACTGAGCCACTGCCGGACTCTTAATCTGAAATAATGTACTTCAGTCATAGCTGTTTAGCCACATTTAAGTCCCATATCTATACAATAAAATGTATTTCAGGTCTTTATGGGAAAGTAGATACATTTTTCCAATTGTTTTATAGTTTTTCCACCACTTAGTAAAGGTTTAGTTACGCTCCCCTTCCTTTTATTATGATAATCCAAACACTTATCAAACAGTGTCGTCCATATGTCTGATGTTCATACTTTAGGAGTTTTGTATGCGTGAGCTATATCAGGGTTGCCAACTTTGGGTACCTGGCTGGAGTGAGATTTTGATATCATGGGTTTAATTACACATATGTGCACTAAATGACTGCAATCGTGTCAGTAGCGGAACCTTAGCATATATATAGTATATATACACAATATATACAAATACACAATATTGGACACAGACTATAAAGGGCTCACAGTTTCATTCACTAATGAAAGTCAAACACATGTTTGTTTCCACTGTTTTATTGTGTGCCTGTCGCGATAAGCAATTAATTGACTTATCGTACGATAAATAAAAATGAACTCGATAACTTTTCTGACCTCGATAAATTGCCATTTACATGAGGATGTGACTAGCAGTTTGAAAGGATGTACTTGAATTATTATGATATATTATCATTATGTCAGTGGTCTAAAATGGTCATACAACGGTGCCGACAATATTATCGTTTATCGCAATAATTACCGGGAAAATGTATCCAACAAAATTAATTATCGTGAGAGGCCTATACATGAAACACACACACAAACAAATCTACAGACTTACTCCAAACTGCCAAATATATTAATTAACACACTCTCACTCTCATATACTCTTTGACTCTATTTTGGCCTAGTAGAACAATAAGCAGCAGACTTTTACTTTTGTATAATTTCTACTGGATCTTAGATCTGCGCATGCGCAATACGGGTCGGGGATTGACCAACCGGCTCCCACTGCTCTGCTGTCTGTTAACGTTGTTAAGAGTGGTGGGGGTGAGGAGGGAGCGGATCGACAGCTTCAGCAGCTGTCAACTCAACAGTGTAAATAACCAACCAAAAACGATCGCCGGTTCATCCTGTTTTTGGCGTGAGAATAGTTTGGGCAGCGTGAGAGCGTGAGATTGAGAGTGAAAGCGTGTGTCACACACCAGATGCTATATTTTTACTTGTGGGTATTCAACACCATATTATGGGATGTATTGTGTATTAATGTGTGTCCTGCTTTTTCCCCAGGCGCTCCTAAAGGCATCGAGTTTAACTCCGTGAAGGAGGTGCTGCTGTCGGTGAAGAAGGTGAAGTCGATGCACTCTCTGCATCTCTGGGCTCTGACTCTGGGTCAGGCTCTGGTCTCTGTTCACCTGGCCATAGGTAACGCCTCACACTGATCTATAACCTTTACATATTAGAGAGCATTGAGAAACTAGAATTCAGCATAATAAAATAACAGTTGAAGTGATATTAGGAAATGACGGTCTCGACATAGGGGGTTGTAAGGGACTTCAAACCTGACGATATACAGTATAATTAAGATTTATTAACGGGAGAGGCCTATAATAAAGTCTGACATTTGGTTTCAATAAAACAAAACGATTAGTCGATTACTATTTTCTGAGTTTCATTTTATTCATTAATATACATTTAAACATTTTGTTTTAATATTTCAAATTTCTCTCTTCGTTTTTTGAACTTTTAAAAAACAAACAATGATGAAGAAAATTATTAATAAATCCAATCCAATGTATTGGTAACCACCTTAACCAACTACTAACAGTAAAATATTACTTTTATATTAATGCAAGAGTAATAATAATCTAATCACATAACACATCATTGTATAATAGTCACAGTGGACTTTTAACTTAAACTTGTAATACTTTACCTACACTTTCCTGATGATACTTGCCTTCTTTAAAGTGACATTTCATTGAGGGCGTTTTACTTACAACGTTTGGTATGACTACTTGTTCTCTAAAAGGCAAAGACAAAAGTCAAAATGTGATAACCGTAGTAAATCAGACTCACTGTTGTTGTTTTCCTCTCCTCTCCTCTCCCCCTCCCCCCCCGCCCCTCAGAGGAGGGTGCTGACGCCCAGTCGGTGCTGCAGGAAGCCACCGAGCTGCTGAACACTAAGTTTGGTTTCCACAGCATCACCATCCAGGTGGAGCTCCACTCAGAGGAGATGAACCACTGCGGCCACTGCCAGGACCCCCGAGACTTGACCCCCCCCCCCCCCCCCCCCCCCCAACCAGTACACACATCCTTTACTCAAGTAGAAGTACAGATACTCGTGTTTAAAAATACTCTGGTGAAAGTAGAAGTACTGACTAAACTTCTTTGCTCAAGTAAAAGTAAAGAACTTTGAAATGTACTTAAGTAAAAAGTACCCATAACTAGCAGCTGTTTTAAAGAGTACCTGACCTCCCTTTATATTAATAGAACAATAATGTCATTGTTAGCTAATGAATGTTTCCATGACAACGTTTTCATTGGTCCCTCTTCTTTAGAGAAGACCAGGAAATGATGGATACACGGATCGTGTTCAAATCAATAGGCACGCAATGACTCTAAAGAATAATGATCACGCCACCAAACACACATTCAAACTAAAGGAACCAGCCTGTTTGGAAAATGTAATTAGTAGAAAGTACAGGTATTTGTGTTCAACATGTAAGAAGTAGAAAGTACAGGTATTAGTGTTCAAAATGTAAGAAGTCAAAGTAAAAAGTCGTCAGAAAAATAAGTAGTGGAGTAAAGTACTGATACCAGAAACATGTACTTAAGTACAGTAACGAAGTATTTGTACTCCACTACTTCCCACCTCTGTTAATTACAACCACACATTATTCCATTAAGGCGAGACACTACAGGATGTTTTTTATCATGCATTGGTCCATTTTAAGAGTTTAGGCAACTTTGCTTTCATGATGGCGTCATTTGCAATGTCACAAAACCAAACTCCATTCAAACCATATCTCCCTGTAGTGTCTTACAAATGAATGGAATTAAAAAATAATACATATCTTTTTAGGGCTGTTTTGTCATACTCCTTACTTCAGTAGCGCTTACGTCGACCACATTTCCAATTACATTCCTAACGATATTCTGAAGTATTTCACAAAAGGGTTCGTTAAAACATGTCATTTTTTACAAAACATGGCTGAAATAGATGTATTTATGGCAAACAAGTGTATAGAACTTTGCTTTATCGAATTAGAAGTCCGTTCTGAAACCGTATGCAAATTATCACATCATTAATAACAGCTTTATTTCCCATTTCACCTCCAGCTCTAACCTCACTCTGGTCTTAATACCAACAGTAAACTGACTTCACTGTTCCTCCCTTTAAACATCACACTGCTGACTACACATGTCTGTATTATATCTAATAATCAGCTAAATGTTGACTTGACCAATTTCTCTACAGTATTGTACTTTGTTTAGTTATATCACATCAAGCCAAAGAAGAGTAGAGTCCATTTCAGCAAAATTGAGCAAAATTAAATGAAAATGTTATGAGTATTGATTGTTTCTTAAAACACCAACAGCCTTCACAATTAACTCATTAAGGGCTGTTTTTGTGCTTGTTTCTTGTCAATTTGTTTGTGTTGCATCATTTTTGGATCAATTTATAGAGGGGACTGTTAGGTAAGTGTCTGGATTTTCAAAATAAAAGCCCTGAAAGGCAAGGGGAGCTTAATTCAGCCTTCATGAGTGCTCAAGATTTTCCAAAATAAAAGATCCAATAGCTACAGGTGCTTAAATAAGCTTTAATGAGTGGTCAAGATTTTCAAAATAAAAGCCCCCAAAGGCAACCGGGGCTTCAACAAGCCATTATGAGCGCTTTACGTTTTCAAAATACTGTAAAAGCCCCTAATAGGCAATAGGCATTTCAATAAGCCTTAAATATGCCTTTTAAAGCGCTCAAGATTTTCAAAATAAAAGCTCCAATAGCTACAGGTGCTTAAATAAGCTATATTGAGCGGTCAAGATTTTCAAAATAAAAGCTGCAAAGCAACAGGAGCTTAAATATGCCTTTATAAACGCTGAAGATTTTCAAAATAAAAGCCCCTAAGGCAACAAGAGCTTAAAAAGCTATAATGAGCGGTCAATATTTTCAAAATAAAAGCCCCAAAAGGCAAGGGGAGCTTAATTCCACTTTCATGAGTGCTCAAGATTTTCAAAATAAAAGCTCAAAAAGGCAACAGGAGTAAAATGAGCCTTAAATATGCCTTTATAAGCGCTCAAGATTTTCAAATACAAAGATCCAATGGTAACAGATGGAGGGAGGGGGGTCTATTGTTGTAGATCTACACTCTACTTAGTGCATTTTTCTTGCTCAAACTAAGACATCCAAAATATACCTCAAACTATCCTTTCTCATATAACTCCTTACCCTAAATCTCTCATTTAAACACTCCGTCAAGCTTTCCGATTATTCCAATTACTCAATGACCGGAGGGAGGAGATGTTATATAATAAACATAAATGGTTCATCCTCTGGGGAGCATGATTAGGCTGAATCAATAGCGTACTGCCCTTTAGATTTAAAGACATCGACATTAAGCTGATGGTGGAGTCAGGCGTCACTTTAATGGTGTCGTTAACATCATCAGAGTTTCTGGGGACCATGAAAAAAACAGCCAGTTTCAGTCGGTATGAATTCATATTTCGGACGTAGAATAATTTAGATGATTGCAGCCATAAGAACAGCCAACAAGCCAGTTATGTTTCGCAGCTACTTTAAAAGTGTTGATGTTGTTCGTTGCTCTCAAAGAAAGGACACTTGTATATTTTAAACGCCCATTCAGACCCAAATACTTGCATGGTTGTTAACTGTTATTCAATATCCTGTACAGTAAAACGTTTCTCGTTCAACTGCCAATCAGAATATGTTGATGTACCATGCGGAGGATTAATCAAAGTAAAAAAAAACATGTCTTTTTAAGGAGATCCTGTATATTTAAATACATTTTCCTTTTGAAATAATGCAACATGAGAATATATATGGACCCAACAGCTGAGTTAAAAGAAAGTGAAAGAAATAAAGACCAATGCATTTTAACTGTAGTGATTTTGATATACATGCACATTGAATTTCTCCACTTAAATCTTTCTTTAAAGTTCATTTCAGAAAACCAGTTTGTTCACTATGGAAGTCTACTGTTTGAGAATGCTTTGTATTGTGCCGTTGCTGTCCGTGACAATTATGAATGTTGTAAATATGTCAAATATTGTGTATTTTCTGTGTATGATTTTGTGTATACAAGTGTAAATACATCTATCTCTCTTGTACAATCGGTCCTATTTGTCTATGTGTAATGGTGATATATTGCATAAATCCACATGTCACATCTGTGATGTTTGATATTTCATTTTTATGTGTGGCAAGAGTTTTTTTGTAAAGTGAAATAAAAGATTGCAGATGATGCAAAGAGGCTGGATTATTTTGGAAAGGTCCATTGACTTAAATGTATCTTATAAGGGGAAATAATATAAAACAAACGATCATTTGGAGGGCCTACTCCCAAAAAGTGTGTTGGGCATTATATTAAATGTTCTTAGTCGCCAAACAGTGGAACTTGGAACCTTTTCCTCCCAGGAAAGTCCCTGCTCTCTAGCAGGGACTGAAAAAGGGGGGAAAAGGTTCTAGTTCCAGATCTTTTTGGTGTTAACGCAAAATCCCAGGAACTATCCAAACTATTCCTGGGAAAAGTACTCCGGTGTGAACGCGCCTATTGACTTAAATGTATCTTATAAGGGGAAATAATATAAAACAAACGATCATTTGGAGGGCCTACCAAGCATCATATTTGGAGGTCTGCCTGTAGGTCAGAAAACAACAGAGTATCCCGGACGAACCCCCAAAAAGTGTGTTGGGCATTAAATCAAATGTTCTTAGTGGCCAAACGTTGATACTACAACTTCCATGTCAGTCATATTATACCATTGGGCCCATAAAAACGTTTTCTCATTGACTAACATTAGGAAATAGGCATCTTTTAATTAGCATATCATTTTTTGGAGCTAAATCAGGTTCACAGTACAGTTGAAAAGCCCTCATCTAAAATCATTAGTTTCTTAAAGTTGTAAAATGCACATTATTTATATCTTGCAAATCAATCAGTGTAGAATGTGCTTTTTTGGGGAGGGGGTCTTAAAGAGACAGTGAAGCATTTCAGAAAAAGGGTGAATCGGGTAAGCATGAGATAAATACATTATTGAACATTAGCATGTAAACATGTTCTGTTAGAAATCCTTAATACAAGCTTGAACCTGAAAAGGAGCATTGTATGTGACCTTTCATTTTATACGCAAACTTTTGTTTTACTATATCGTTTTTTATTTAAAAGTATTATTCTTCTGAGCCCAAGAACAGCTTTAAAAAGACCTCGTGATAAGATTCCCCGAACTTCAACTTTATTTACTATGTATACAATATATATTTTTATTACAAAAACATGTATTATTTAAACATTTCAAAGATAGCAAGACAACAAATGCGGCTGTACATTTTGATGATTTTATGATAAGATTTACAACTTAATAATACTGTCAGTCACAAACTTCTTTTATGACTGACAGTATTATCATGGTGTTTAAACTTCATTCTGAAACTGTCAATGAGATCTGTGAATCATTTGAAAAACATAAACCTTTTCAACTTAATATGACAACCTCTAAAAAAGAGACAGCTGTGTAACAAATAACAATTTGTTTTGTAGACAACACTGAAAAATAAATTAGGCAATGTCACAATACAGCAGCGTCTCTCGTTTAAAAAAATAACAAAACCTTCATCAGAAAAACAACGGCGTGAAATAAGTTTGACAAGTGAAGAAAGACACAATGAAAAGTATACCTAAAAATTGTCATTTAGAAACATTACATTCAGAGTTGCAATAAAAAAGTTCAAGTATTTCCCCTCAAGCCTAAATGGTTCTTGATATAATAGAAAAGATTATTAGCAAATGGAGCAGCAAAAATGAGTTTGAAGGGACAGTTTGGCCAAAACAATAATATAGTATTCACCTCTCTAGGCTCGTTATAGCCCCAGGTTTGTATGTTTTTTGGTTTAATCAAATGGTGTTTAGGAGAGTGGAGCCCCTGGGAAATGAAATGATGTCAGTGCAAACTGCAATTTTTATATAATTTGAATAAAAGGCAGCAAAAAAAGGTAATCAAATTGGACCAATTGCTCAATTGGACAACAGATTCCTTTACTAAGCAGCAGTTTAGCAAAAATAGATATTTTTCGATTTCCATGATTCCTCGATTGGATACAAGACACTAACTATTGCACAATAGGTTTTTCAGAAAATGTATATCCTTGTTTGTTGATGTTTTCATTATCTGGGAGTCTCCTAAACAATAAAAGACATCTGGGTCCATTAAGAGCCTAAGGAGGTGATTACTACATTTCACTTTTATGTGAACGATTCCTTTAAACTTACAATTCTTCAACAGGGAAGTTGGAGGAGAGTTTGGGGACAAAATCAGAAAGTGTCTCGTTAACTGTGAGGAAAAAAACAAGTAGCATGTTGTGAAGAAACTCTGGAACCAAAACATGTGTTGATCGTTGGCTTTGGATAACAACGTGACAACAAATTAAAGAACAATATCGCAGTCCTTGTTGCTGCAGTTCTCGTTAATAACACAAATTAACAAAAACTGCAGTGGAATGTCTGAAATCTCTGCTAAAATAAAATAATTTAAGAAACAAAGAGAAGAAGCCTGAAGGTTTTTAAGTTCCAGTTGCTCACAGTTTGCACCTCAGCCTTTCATTCAATTTGTGAATACACACACTTTTGATTTCATTTCTGCACTAAATACAGAATACTAATGATGAATGTCTGCTTTGTATTATACCGACTGAAGTGCAAACAATAAGTCGCATTTTGTTGGTATTTTGAGCATTTTAAGAACAAACAGAAAGTCAGTTGATCCTGAAACCACATACTTTATCACTGTCGTGGAGGACAACAAAAACAAGACATTTGAGTTGTTATTATTATTTTAGAAAAGCTGCAGATATGTACTACTTTTCCTGAGAGTAGTTGACTTTATGAAGCTGATATTATTACTTTCGAAGGCATATTTGCAATTTGTATGTCAGATAAAAGAAACTGGAGCAACTTCAAAAACCTACCATGGAATCAATGATTTTAATGTGGAAAATGTTCATTTCATGCGTAATAAGCAAAGTGCTTATACTCCCCGCTGCTCAAACTTCTTTGAAGAGAATAAAGTGTCACGTTGATTATAATCTGCTGTCGAAAAATTATGCCTATGAGACATTTGTTGGGAAGTAAAGAGCTGTGTAGTTCAGTGCTAACACGTTTTAGTGTGGAGGTGGTGAGGTATCAGGATGAAACTCTTACATGTGTTCTCCAATAACATGGAGACATTTTAAAAACAGAGTGTATTGAGCTGCTCTTGTTGAAAAATGACCCAAAACCTGCAAAATCAATCATTCATTTGATCCCCTCTCTTGCCTTTAGACTCTTGAATGTAAACCCAGTAGAAAAAAAGAAAGTCTAAACAGTATGTTCTGATAAACTATTACTATTTAAAAAGACTACTTTTTGCAGGCCTGTGTGTGTTTGTGCTCCACCTTCTGATCCTGCTATAGATCCTCTTTCTCGGAGTGGACGTCCGCCTCCTTCTGTAGTTTGTTAAACTGAGTCTGTTTCTCACTTATGATCTTCTTGGACTGGGAGCAGATCATCGACCGCAGACAGATTATTCTCACCAGCCCCGCCTGCCCCCCCCGACACCAGCCAGGTGTGGCAGCACAAGTTGGGGTTGAAACGCACCTGAAGAACATAGGAAGGTAATTAAAAACAGTTTCTGTGCTTAGAATATCTGCAGCAGCTCATGAGAGGTCAATAACACTTTGAAAAAAACGAAAAGGACATATTCTGACATATTTTCAGGTTCATAGTTGTATGTTGTGCCTCTACTGTGACCGGTTTCCATGCTTTAATGTTCAAAAAGGTCTTAATTTGTGTCGCATTAATTCAGTCGTACACACAGTACGTCCAAATCTGTTGGCAAGCTGCTGACATGGTTGTTCAAATGTTTGAATGTGCATAATACCTGTCACACATGTGCAACATTAACTCTCATTCACTTCTACTCTATGCGAGTAAAGGTGTTTTAAAAAAGCGTGCTTCCGCTGTGGAGCTCAAATGCTTTGTTATAAACTGCTTTTGGTATCAACTCGTTGTGTTGGCTGAGTTGCATACACTACCTTTTGAACCAATCCCTTGCAGGATGAGGCTTTTATTTGCACAACTCTACTTCAAAGCAAGGGATATCAGAGGAGAAAAAAAAAAAAAAAAAAAAAAAAAACGTTCAGACCATTGTTTCAGAAACCTAACCCAAAAACAAATAGGTTTTTGCGACAAAATGTGATTAAAGCCATGTTAAGTTTTAGTTTTTGTAATACTTCTTTGTTTATTCATAGATACGTGCATACTAAACAAAACAAACATGTAGATTTATATTTAGAAGTTTTACGATAAAGAAAACCCCTTCATGCCTTAAAATGTCTTAGATGTCTAACTTTTCATGAAACGATATCTTTTTAAAGAGTCTTTCGAGGTTCAATCAATGGCAGGAGAGGAAGTTTAAGTCTCAAGGACAGGGACAGATTTCACTGTGTTTAGTGTTTGTCACATTGAGTTAACGTCTACACGCTGAATAGCAGAGGACCAAGTATTGATCCCTGAGGAACCTCAACAAATCACGTCAGCTCTCCGAGACTTATTTATCTTGATAACTACTTTTTCTTCTCCTTGAGTTATTGTTATTAAAAGCTAACAATACTTGTATTCAAGAGGAATCCACTCTTCCCTGAATGACTCTCAGTGAGTCAATATCACTGCCACCTCCTTCCTTTCTTTACCGACGCTCATCTATCCGCCTCTTTACCACCATAAATCCTCCTGGTGTGACTATTCTTTTATTTTCCTGAGTCAGTCTCTTCCTCTTTCTAATCCATTTATCCCATTTAGACTAAAAAAGCCAGTCACTAACCTAGAGACATTTTATTTTTTTTCCCATGAAGTGCCCGTCCATCATCTCATCCCAGAGGGCAAGGCGACACTCTCCACTCTGCCCCCTCTTAAAATTAAACACATCAAATCCTCAAACGGCTGCTCTCCATCTCCCCCGCCCTCCTTCCACCGAGGGTGACATTTTTCTCATTTTACACATCATTACATTCAGCCCGTCTTTATAGCTGCCCATCAGAGGAGGAAGGGGCTTTTCTTCTGCCCATCACCTCCTTTTCTCTTTCATTCTACCGTTTATCTTCCCTCCTTCTTCACGTCGTGTTGCAGCAGGAGTCTGACAAAACCTGCACTCTGTGTGTGTGTGTGTGTGTGTGTGTGTGTGTGTGTGTGTGTCAGAATCAGATAACTTTATTCGTCCTACAGAGGGGAATTGTTAAATTTTTACAGCAAGTAACGAGCCAAAGATAGCTTGATATTAATTAAGAAGCATGCATCAAAATATTAAAGAAATAGTAGAAATGACACAATGAATGTGTGTGTGTGTGTGTGTGTGTGTGTGTGTGTCAGAACACCTTTATTTGTCCTACAGAGGGGACATTTGCATTGTTACAAGTAAAGAGCCAAAGATAGCTTAACATTGATTAAAAAGCTTTTAATGTGTGTGTGTGTGTGTGTGTGTGTGTGTGTATGTGTGTGTGTATGTGTGTGTGGGTGTGTGTGTGTGTGTGGGTGTGTGTTTTTTTGTCAGAATCAGAGCACCTTTATTTGTCCTACAGAGGGGACATTTGCATTGTTACAAGTAAAGAGCCAAAGATAGCTTAACATTGATTAAAAAGCTTTTTGTGTGTGTGTGTGTATGTGTGTGTGTATATGTGTGTGTGTGTGTGTGTGTGTGTGTGTGTGTGTGTGTGTGTGTATATGTGTGTGTGTGTGTGTGTGTGTGTGTGTGTGTGTGTGTGTGTGTGTGTGTGTGTGTATGTGTGTGTGTGTGTGTGTGTTACCTTGTGTACTGAAGCCAATGGCATCTCATCCAAGGTCAGCTTCATCTTCAACTCCGTGTTTTTCATGTGTTTCCACAAATCTCCCTTATCACTTCCTGCAAAGGTTTCCTAAAGGCAGGGATATAGTTTCTCATCATGATAGTGTAACATGTGCAATGTGTGTGAGTTTAAAATAAATAAATACAGTATAATATTTAGATGAAATGGCACTAAAGGCTAAACCAGTAAATCAAATGTTTCTAAACCTCTGAAACATTTGTTTTGTAGAAATATTTTTTAACCGGAGCTAACTAACCTATTAGCTTTGCACCAATCACATCACCTCTTATTAAACAATGCCTTACGTTTTCAGACGTTTTAATGTTAAAATGTTGCTAACAGCCTCTTTAAAGGATAAATATGTATTAAATTAACGTTTTGAATGAAGTATTGTGGCGGCTCAAAGATATCCCGGCCTACAAATCTTATTCTACAGACCTAAATAAAAGACACTATGTTCAATTTCATTTATATTTTCAATGTTACTGAGAAAAATGATGATGCAAAAATCAATCCTTCATCAAAATAATCACAATTATCTATTTTTCCAAATTGTGCAGCCCAACTTGTTAAAGTACTCTTTAAATGTTGGCTAAAATACAGTCTAAATTAGCAAAATCATGATAAGAAACAGTAAGTCAATAAGGATTAAAAACTATCCAGGCATTGCTTCAAGTGCCTGACAGCTTTCAAAATATGAGGAATCTTTTATTTGGTCTTTTATTAACCTATAGGTTTCTTCCCAATGTAATTTCCTTGATTATAATGACTGATATCTGTTGCCTTTTGAACCTACTCACCGTGTTGATGTCTTTAAGGTGGAGGGAGAATCTCTTCTCAGCATCTTTGTACGTCTGGACGCGAGGAGAAAGACTTTCATCATTTTCAACACTTCCTCCGTTTACATTATTGTTCTCATTCCCTCCTTCAGACGCTTCAACAGCATCTCCATCTTCCTCCACTTCTTCCAGCTGTGGATTTTCTTCTGTCGTCGTATCATGAGGCTCCAGAGATGTGATGTAAAGCGGCTGAAGACACACAGGGAGGGGAACACGTTAACGTAAAGGCAAATAGAGTGGTGAAGGAATGAGTCCCAAAACCTGGAAATTAGTTAGCATTTTACCACTTATGATTCCCTTATCTTGAAGTCGATGGTTTTTAAATGTGCTTTTAGTTAGACGCCTTACATAAGGTATGTGGTTGACACAGGGTGAATAGATTTTTTTGTTCTAGGACATAAAATACGTCAGTAAATACATCACTGGTGAATTTAAAAACAGCAGTTGCTAACAAGTGACTAAATGAGACGACTAGACGTCATCACGCCCAACATTAGCCTCCTTTAGCTTAGCGGTGATGACGTGAAGTCATGTGACCGTGCTGTAGTTCCTTTATAGACCAACATTAGCCACCTTTAGCTTAGCGGTGGTGACGTGAAGTCATGTGACCGTGCTGTAGTTCCTTTATAGCACAACATTAGCCGCCTTTAGCTTAGCGGTGGTGACGTGAAGTCATGTGACCGTGCTGTAGTTCCTTTATAGCCCAACATTAGCCGCCTTTAGCTTAGCGGTGGCCATGTGAAGTCATGTGACCGTGCTGTAGTTCTTTTATAGCCCAACATTAGCTGCCTTTAGCTTAGCGGTGGCCACGTGAAGTCATGTGACCGTGCTGTAGTTCCTTTATCGCCTCACGCCAGCTTTTTACTTCAAAAATGGTATAGCAATGTAAATATGTGGAGATTATCCTGCTGAACAAAACGTGTAAGTATCATAAAAGTGTGTTTGCCACACGAAATCCAACATAAAAATCCCATTTACTTCTTGTCGATGAAGCCCTTGCGATGCTATCTTCCGAGTTGGCTTGTAAAAATATGTCATTCTCACACAACTATATAGCAAATACAATAGTGCAAATTCACAACAAATTGACATTTTGTCAGCAACATAATATCAGAGTAGACCAAAAATAATTCCTATCTGAGGGAAAAAATAATCAAATCCACAAAGAAAAAATACAAAAACTGAATAAAATAATCAAAAAGAATACTTACAAAGCGTCTCTCTAAAGTGCGCTTGACGTATGTCGTCGTGATGCTGAGAGGAGGTAACAGGAAGAGGATCACCTCTCCCACACTGTCTGCTGTCATCACGATGTTCATCCACTCCGTGTAGGATAAGGACTGCAACAGCAAAAAGACAAAGAAGATAAGATGTATTTTATTATTCCCAATTTGGGAAAAAAACAAGGCATTGCACATAATAACCAATTAAAACTCTTCAAATCGTATGTATTCTTACACAGGGTGAAACAAAAGAGATGATACAGACAAAGATTTTACTCAGGGTGAAATAAACAATTCTAAAATATAAACATCTCAAAATAGACTAGAAATAAACCAGCATTAGAAAGTTCAGAAAATATACAGATGACCGGGAAGATAACAAATCTATACACTGTCTGACATGTAAAAAAAAAACACTATTGAAGGGCCAATTTTCTGATAACAAAATATATGCAGGATATTATTTACATAAAGTGTGCAATTTGAACCATTAAGATACAGTCTTTGCTGTTTCACTCTTGAATTACAGTCTTGTTTTGTTGATAAATGATGCTTTTTTAACAGTTTAATGTAGCATAATATATTATTAAGGGTATAATATCTTGTGAAAACATTGGTTTCTAAAATTAGGGCATTTCAAAAAGTAGTGAGAGTAATTAAAAACCAAGTATGCTTCACTCTAACGGCCTGTCCACACGGCGGCGTGCGTTGTCGCTTGCCGGCGGGGGGGGGCTGAAACTCGACCAACAACCAATCACATGAATCTCCCGCCCCGGACACACAAGCACGCGGTTTGATTGGCTAGAGCTTGTACTGGCATATGATTCGATTGGCTGACGCTTCCGCCGAAGCTTCAAAAGTTGAACATTGCTCAACTTTCGCCGCGAGCAAATCTACGCTTCGCTCCCACAATGCAGTTCGGCGAAACGTGACGTCACCCCATTCAAAGTGAATGGGCAGAAGCGTTGAAAGTATCTACTTATGAGATATGAGTGTTAGATATATATTCCTCTTCGTTGTTCTCCATGGCTGATTAAAAACACACTTACCCACAGAGTGCCGGTCCGGGGAATAGCAAAGACAGAGCGCATCTGATGGTCGAAGAAATGCACCCCCTGCGAAAAGTAACTGGATACAAAAAAAAAAAAGCAAAACAATTAAGCATGAAATGAAAGACAGTTTAAATCTAAGTTTGACCCTCTTTCACGGAAGCAAACCGATTTTAAAGTAAATTCAACTTGATGGTCATAGGGAGCTTTAGTCAGACATGCTGCCACTTTTATAATGTGCAAAAGAATAAGATAAGCAAATGTACAGAAGAGAATTTTTTGTATCTGAACGAAGGTGATTTTTTTCTTTGGAGTTTGGAGAATTTCAGATTTCTTTCCTCAGAATTCAAACTTTTTTCTCAGATTTCTGAAAATTTTCCATAGAATTATGATTTTTTTTTCTCAGTATCCCAATTTTTGTGCTTAGAATTCCCCCAAACATTCTTAGAAATCCACATTTTTTCTCAGAATTCTGACTAAAATCAGTCCGAGAGATTTTGTTTAATTAAGAGGTTCAACTCTAACCACCTCAAGCGAATATAAAGTATGTTTCATCAAATTTCGAAGTTTCCATACAGGTTCTCTACTTCAACACTTATTGAAACAGGGCTATAGAATCAGGTTGTCGCATTTACAAACGTCCCGTAATATAACTTATCTCGGGTAGAGAACATTTTGGGAAAATACTGAATGTACTCTTCCAATATCAGAGTACACGTGATAACAAAGGTATCCCAACTGTAGCTGTGTGCATGACAGGATGTATGATTACCTAGAAGAGCATCAGGACTGTTTTAGGCATATGATAGCTATGTGATTAACATGATGATTCAGCCTCTATGGAGATAGACATATGACAAGCATGATCATTTCTGACGTGGAGCTAATCTGAACTAAACATTGAATACTGCTTTCTATTCCTCCATCTTGTGACTGTGTAACTCCCTCTCTTGTATATCAGCATGTGAAGGACACTGTTCAGGAACTAGTTGATGCTCTGTATGTGATGACTACTTCCATTCTGGAGAGGATCACAAACACATGGATCCTGAGATTGAAGCTCAAGCCGGTGACGAGTGAGATTTTTCAAACAGAAACAGAGATGCTTTCTCACCCTGCGTACGCGTTCTCCTGAGACAACAGGAGTCCCGGTGCGTTCAAAGGCCAGCAGACCTCCGTGGTGAGGTGGCGTTTCTGAACAGTGATGGGGTTGTAGAGCCTCCTCAGATCCCACGTCTTCAGATAGCGGTCCTCTCCTGCCGACACTAAAAGGTGTCTGAGGGGAAAGGAGAAAGAGTTTCAAGTCAGTTTTCAATAAAATCATTTTAAAGGTCCCCTATTATACTGTTTTTCATCAATATATTACAGGTCTCAGATATATACAGAACCTGTCTCTGATTGGCTGAAACACCAAACAGATCATTGCAGCATCCCATAATCCCCTCTGTTTCAGCCCCGTTTCCAAAGTGCTGATTATCTGTCTGTTACTTTAGATGAAAATAAGGAGCCCCTCCCCACGCCCCTCTGAGAGATATTTGGTTACAAAGAACACAATGGTGTTCTAGGAGGAGATTCAGGTGATAAGGTGGGGGGGGGGGGGTTACCTTGGTTGGTGATTGGCCAATGGTTACACAAGACAAAACATCGTTATGACATAAAGTGGCCAAAATCTGATCAGCTCATTTTCAGACAGGTTTTTATAGAAATGGATCAGGACAAAAAGAGAGAGAATCTTTGTTCCTGAAACTTTCAGAGTCTCTTTACACAGAGAGGACACATGTTGATGAAGAAGAGACATGAAGAAGAGGGGCCACATGTTGATGTAGAAGAGACATGAAGAAGAGGGGCCACATGTTGATGTAGAAGAGACATGAAGAAGAGGGGACACATGTTGATGTAGAAGAGACATGAAGAAGAGGGGCCACATGTTGATGTAGAAGAGACATGAAGAAGAGGGGCCACATGTTGATGTAGAAGAGACATGAAGAAGAGGGGCCACATGTTGATGTAGAAGAGACATGAAGAAGAGGGGATACATGTTGATGTAGAAGAGACATGAAGAAGAGGGGACACATGTTGATGTAGAGAGGACATGAAGAAGAGGGGACACATGTTGATGTAGAAGAGACATGAAGAAGAGGGGACACATGTTGATGTAGAAGAGACATGAAGAAGAGGGGATACATGTTGATGTAGAAGAGACATGAAGAAGAGGGGACACGTGTTGATGTAGAAGAGACATGGAGAAGAGGGGACACATGGTGATGTAGAAGAGACATGAAGAAGAGGGGACACGTGTTGATGTAGAAGAGACATGGAGAAGAGGGGACACATGGTGATGTAGAAGAGACATGAAGAAGAGGGGACACGTGTTGATGTAGAAGAGACATGAAGAAGAGGGGACACATGTTGATGTAGAAGAGACATGGAGAAGAGGGGACACATGGTGATGTAGAAGAGACATGAAGAAGAGGGGACACATGCTGATGTAGAAGAGACATGAAGAAGAGGGGACACATGGTGATGTAGAAGAGACATGAAGAAGAGGGGACACGTGTTGATGTAGAAGAGACATGAAGAAGAGGGGACACGTGTTGATGTAGAAGAGACATGAAGAAGAGGGGACACATGTTGATGTAGAAGAGACATGAAGAAGAGGGGACACATGTTGATGTAGAAGAGGGACACATGTTGATGTAGAAGAGACATGAAGACGAGGGGACACATGTTGATGTAGAAGAGACATGAAGAAGAGGGGACACATGTTGATGTAGAAGAGACATGAAGAAGAGGGGACACATGTTGATGTAGAAGAGACATGAAGAAGAGGGGATACCATGTTGATGTAGAAGAGACATGAAGAAGAGGGGACACGTGTTGATGTAGAAGAGACATGAGAAGAGGGGACACATGGTTGATGTAGAAGAGACATGGAGAAGAGGGGACACGTGTTGATGTAGAAGAGACATGGAGAAGAGGGGACACATGGTGATGTAGAAGAGACATGAAGAAGAGGGGACACGTGTTGATGTAGAAGAGACATGAAGAAGAGGGGACACATGTTGATGTAGAAGAGACATGGAGAAGAGGGACACATGGTGATGTAGAAGAGACATGAAGAAGAGGGGACACATGCTGATGTAGAAGAGACATGAAGAAGAGGGGACACATGCTGATGTAGAAGAGACATGAAGAAGAGGGGACACTGGTGATGTAGAAGAGAATGAAGAAGAGGGGACACGTGTTGATGTAGAAGAGACATGAAGAAGAGGGGACACGTGTTGATGTAGAAGAGACATGAAGAAGAGGGGGACACATGTTGATGTAGAAGAGACATGAGAAGAGGGGACACATGTTGATGTAGAAGAGGGGACACATGTTGATGTAGAAGAGACATGAAGAAGAGGGGACACATGTTGATGTAGAAGAGACATGAAGAAGAGGGGACACATGTTGATGTAGAAGAGACATGAAGAAGAGGGGACACATGTGATGTAGAAGAGACATGAAGAAGAGGGGACACATGTTGATGTAGAAGAGACATGAAGAAGAGGGGACACATGTTGATGTAGAAGAGACATGAAGAAGAGGGGACACATGTTGATGTAGAAGAGACATGAAGAAGAGGGGACACATGTTGATGTAGAAGAGACATGAAGAAGAGGGGACACATGTTGATGTAGAAGAGACATGGAGAAGAGGGGACACATGTTGATGTAGAAGAGACATGAAGAAGAGGGGACACATGGTGATGTAGAAGAGACATGGAGAAGAGGGGACACATGTTGATGTAGAAGAGACATGAAGAAGAGGGGACACATGTTGATGTAGAAGAGACATGGAGAAGAGGGGACACATGTTGATGTAGAAGAGACATGAAGAAGAGGGGACACATGTTGATGTAGAAGAGACATGAAAAAGTGGATTTTGCATAATAGGTGACCTTTAAAGACATGTTTTTAGGGAAGCAATACATAATTTTCCATCAGAAAGAAATATAGAAATGGATTGGTAAAGTTATAGTCCAACCTAAACAGGATTTTTTTAATGGTGAATACCAATATCTATATCTCTCATGTGTTTTTTTTCTGTGCTTATGTGCTCTTATAGGTTTAATGCCATCAACTGCAGATGAAAATCTATTTAGCTTTTATGGCAAAATGTGTCACTTTTGCTTTATGGAATCAAGCGCTAATGTTACTTAATGTGCACTGTCCTTTCTTATATAAATACATTTCAAAATACAAATACATGAAAGGCACATTTTATAATTCAAAGGATATTTCAAAGCTAAAAAATAGACATTGTAAGATTGTCTCAAGATCTATGTTATATTTGAATCCCTTTCTTCTGTCTTCTTTTTCGTTATAATGACATAAGCGAATATCTGCTCTAGTGAATATGTGAATTCATTCCAACTCCTGAACAATGACATGAAATGCATCATTCCCCTCGCATTGATCCCACCTGACAGAAGCGTCTGCCATAAAACAAATGCACACGGAGCAATCAATATCAATACAGACAGATTCCTTTGAGAGGAGAAGCAGTGGGGTTTGAATGTGGAGAGAGAAAAGATGACAAAGCGTTCAGGTGGAGAAAAGAGGGACAGAGAGAGGCGGTTTCATCTGGTTCAACATGGCAGTGTAATTAAAAAGCAGTGATGCGTGTCCTCACTCTGGAGGAACATCTTCGTATTCATGTAGAGTTCACCTTCAGGTTAATACCTTCTACATCTACATGCCTTCAGAGAATAGAAACTCACATGAGTAAAGCACAAACAGTGTAAATGATTAATAGTGTTAATCATTTTTACATCATGCTGTTGTTTTTCTTGTATTTCTTTGTTTTTATTAGTTTGTTTATTTCTGATTGATTAGTTTTTTCTGCACGTTTTGTGTGTTTCCTGTTATTTTTTGATGTATTTTTTCTCCACTGGTATAGCGGATATTCTGCTTTTTTCTTATTTTTTTGTGGTGTGTCGTATAACCCTGGGACTTATTGAACCCCCTCAACACATATATTTTTTATATCTGAACAAAAGTCTTTGGGATTTTCTGAATTTGTTGCCTTCAGAATTCTGACTTATCTTTATAGAATTAAAAAAAATTAATTCTCAGATTCCCAACTTGTTTTTGTTTGAATTCTGCATTTTTTTTCTTGGAATTACACTTTTCTTTGTGGAATTCCCCCAAAAAAATTCTTACAGATTTATTTTTTCGAAATCCCGACTTTTTTCTCTTTCTGCCTTTTTCTTATTTTGTTGTGGTGTGTCGCATAATCCTGTGACTTATTGACCGCTCCCGACACATATCTTTATTTTTTCACTATCTGGATATTACCCAGATCTTATGCTCAGAATTTTGAGAAAACGTCAGAATTTTGAGAACAAAGTGCTTCTCTCTTTCTGCTTTTTTCTTATTTTGTTGTGGTGTGTCGTATAACCCTGTGACTTACTGACCGACCCCGACACATATCTTTATTTTTTTATTCACTATCAGGATATTACCCAAGTCTCATGTGTTGGACAATATTTATTAAAAAAATGAATAAAAAGGAAATTAAATTAAAAGAACAAAGAACTGTTTTACAAAATAGCAAAAATATTGTGGATAAAAAAAAACGTTCTGCCTGCAAACGTTAAAATACAAAATTAAATTGAAGAAAACAACACATTTCACCTGTATCTGGAAGATTGAGGACAGAGGAGTTGAAATGACGGCTCATTATACGTTTTTAAAAAAGGGATCATTCCTGCAGAGGGGGCTCTGGCATATGAGATTAAACTCATGTAGGCGAGGGCGAGCATCAGCAGAGTCTGGAAGCTGATCAATACACATTTAAAAGATCTTCTCAGAAGTCGTTTTTCAGCATTTCTACCCGAATTGTAATCTCAGCATTTCTCCAAAAACTGTATTCATGTCAAGGCAGAAGAGACTGTGTGAAAGCATTTAAATCACATGACACCAAAAGCAACATTAATCATGTTATAGGTGGGTTGTCAGCAACTTAAAAGATGATATTGGAGAATAGTACAGACTTCTACTACTTGAGCAGTTTAGAGGAAATAAAACTCCTTAATATCCGAGGAAGATGACAGTCCGGCAAATGTCAGATTTTTTGGATTGAATAAAAAGCCAATTTCTGCACAGTATTTTTCTTAAACACTTTTGCTGACACACATAGGTGATGAAAATCTTTCTCCTCATCTACACATTCATCAGCGGAGTAACGGAGCAGATAAATCCTTTGAGAGGGATGAACCCCCGTCTCCGAAGGTTTAAATTAAATGCTGAGCTATGACCTTACATTACCTATCAGATATTGGCCGGTCAGTGTTCATCTCTACACCTGTACCATTTAGGATGTACTCATATTAGGAAAATTAAGCTGATCTGGATCAAAGCAGAATATTTCCCCGTACTTTGGTTTGATCGTTGGCTAGCAAAACATTTATTTAGGTTTATTAAATAACTGCTTGGAGACACCTAAAGTAATACTTATTTAAATTGTACAAATTGGACATTAATTTGTTATTTTATACATCTTAAAGGGGCCCTATTATGCTAATTTGTCAGGTTCATATTTGTATTTTGTGCCTGAGTTTCACCCTCTGTCTGAAACCAGAGCCCAGTCTGCCCTGATTGGTTAGCTGGCCGGCTCTGTTGTGATTGGTCAACCGCTTAGATGTCCCGCCCCTTAGCCTATCACGTACAATGTGTTGGAGCGCTAGCCAATAGAAGTGCAAGTGTTACATAGTGATGTGTATGACATGCACAAAAACCTAAAGAACACACTACAGCAAAAGGAAAACCCCAAAAAGCATAATACAGTAGGGCCTCCTCAATCCTATTTTTTCTTACGCCAACCTTTAGCTAATGATTACATTTTCTTCCATAAACTACTCTGCAGGCATTCGATTTGGTCTACTTACCAGAAACAAGTGTGCTAGCCAATAGGAGAGGGAGTGTTACACAGTGATGTCACTATGTAAACAAAGGAGTCCAATGGAGGAGAATAAATACCTCAAAAAGACAAGCAAATGTTTTATTTCCTTGGCTGTGTTTTCTGAAGGTCTAAAGCCAGATAAATAATGCTTGCAGTCTGAAAGTCTAAGCTTCAGATTTTATTGAGCATCTAAATTCAAATATTCAGAAAGGCTGAAGGCCAGTTGATGTTGACTAGAGAGGGATGATCTGAGCGGTGTTAGCCTCGAGAGGACATGGCAGACCGCCCGGCCTTGTACCCTACTTTTTGAATTAGTGCCGTAATAGAAAGGAACAAGAGCTTTTCTGTCAAACTTCAGCTCAGTTCTCTACTTTCAAGATTTACCGAACCAGCACTGCTTTAAACAACACACCTTATAATTGGCTGTAAATAAAACTGCCAAACTAATGGGTAAAGAAACTGAAAAGATACTATTACTGGTTTACTGGTTACTGGTTTATTACTGGTTATTTACTGAATAATTACTGGTTATTCAAATGAACTTGATTTGTCCTGCATGTGCAAACTGTTTTTTCTGTGATGTCATGTTAAATGTTTGTTGTTTGTTTTTCATGTATTGTGTCCCGATGTGTCCATGTTGATGTTACACATGGAGCTGCTGTGATGCAAGTCACATTTCAGACTTGATCTGAGCATTAAAGTATTATCGTATCGTATCGTATCCACCAATAACACTTGGAGGTGTTTGTGAATTCAAATCCGTTTGAAGCTGTTGCAATGTGAGGCATTTTTGCTGAAAAACGATGTTCTTGATCCACTTTTTCCCTCATCGCTGATTTACATGTACTCCCTACGTACGTTACACACATGCACATCAGATTCATGTGATATTACGAGAGTGCAGCATCAGCTTACAGGTGATTTTCGATGTGAAAGTGATTACCTGGAGGCGGGGCAGAAGGCCAGCGACCGGACGGCGTGGTCGTGAGCCAGGAAGCATCGATACGGCAACAAGCTGAGCGACTTATCCGGCTGTCGAACTCGCAACAGCGCCGACTTTGTGTTCAGATCCCACAGACCCACCGTCCCTGGAGAAACAGAGGAAACATGTGACACAAAACTACACAAAAATGTGAAAATACTAGCTCAAATTACCTCATTTTGTGTCTACATCAAATGATTATTCTTTCTCATTCAACGCATGTCACATTTCCCATGTCCTAACTCTTCTAAATTATTATTCTGCCAAATTAAATATCTAAAATCCAAATAAATTACAGTTTGTAATGATTAAACACTGTAGAAATTGATCACTTAGACGGTGAAATACATAAAACTAATAATTTAAAGTGGACCTATCATGCTATATTATAATAATATAGTGTAGGATCATACCTATATAAGGCATATTTATACTTTTTTTTTTTCAAAATACCAAACATCATGCATTTTAGCCATGCCTCATTTCGCTCAATTTGACATTTTTTAGCTCTGGATTTGCAAGGGCAGATTCAGTGAGAACAGCACCATCTACAGGCCTGGCATATGTACTACAGCGTCTCCAGCGCTTTCGAACGGCAATGGCCGTGTCTGTCTCCTCCTGATTGGTGGAGTTGGCCCAATAGCCGTAGCGCCACCGTCCTGACGTCAGGACAGTGTTCAAATCTGGATCAGTTTTTATCAGATCCGTTGCAGCCCCTTTTTTAGAGATTTGGGTATGGAGGAAAATAGAGAGGGTTGTGTTTTCTGACACTTGGTGAGTTCCCTGACACACCGGGGACACATATTCATGTAGAAAAGACGTACAAAAGTGCATTTTGCATGATAGGTCCCCTTTAAAGAAACTACTCCATTGATTAACTAATAATTAGCAATTTGTGGGTTTTTTTTCCTGATTTTTCGATTGTTATGAAGTTATTTTATGTATCTAAGTGTTACATTTGTTATGTATGCCTTGTAATCAAATAATTCCTTAAAATGCAAGAAGAAAAATCTATTTTAACCTGCAAAATACATCAAAACGTATTTAAAGGAAAGACTTCATTGATTATCAAGTAGTGAGTGATATTCGTAGGAGAAAATATCACTTCCCCATCAGTGACAGGAATAATAAAGAGGCGTCCGGATGAACCTGAGGGGAAGTGTTTGTTCCTACAGACACTGAAGCGATTGATCAAAAGCATCTCCAGAAATCAATTCATACCATCGTAAAATCCAATAGCAATTATATTGTGTGGTTTTTGGGGCAGCCAATCCATACACAGGACTTGTCCGCTCCGTTCATGGCGAGGCGCTTTGAAGGAGCCAAGCTTCAGCGTTAAAACTCCTTCTGCCTGCGGAAAACACCAGAACAAAATGTGAGAGAGAAACACTGAACACTGCAGGAGAGCTAAGCTAAACAGAAAGAGGAGAAGAGACACAGGCATTTTATACAGGAACCTACCTTATATACCGGCAGCTGCTCACTGTCTTTCCCTGCAGAGAAGAACATAAATCACATTTAGTGAGTGTTTATTGGGGTTAAAACTAGGATGCATTGAGCGTAGTAATGATTTAGAGAAGCATTTCTTTATACAACTTTTGTTTTATCACCGTTAATGCAAAAAGTGAAAAGATCATTTTGGCATCTCAAAATGCTCGCAGTGAGTATTACAGCTTCTGTTAGCATCAGTTTAAACTGTACTCTGTCATCCTGAGATGTGCTTTGGGTCGGGCTGGGCCACACTTGGATACTGAGGGAAAGGGTGTCCGTAATAGGCATATTTTCATTTAAATAAAACAGCAAACATTTTCAGACAGTCTATAGTAGGCGGCATTCGTAATGTGGCACTCAGTTGTTGTTCTCATGTCTTTCAAAAATGTAGGAATTAGCTTGTGAATTTTGGTATGGCCGTGGTCAGTTACCTTGAACATGGAATCAGTTCGTGCCAATTTGATGAAACTCCCCCAAGGCATTCCTGAGATAATTTGTTCACTAGAATGGAACTAATGTACAACCAGCAAGCCTAATGTCTGCATAAAAAATAACATATAATAATATATAATATATGTTTCTGTAGTATGAGCCTATATACCAGCTACTGCTACTTTTTAGATAGATAGATAGATAGATAGATAGATAGATAGATAGATAGATAGATAGATAGATAGATAGATAGATAGATAGATAGATAGGTAAGTACTTTACTGATTCCAAAAAAACATGATGAGACGCAGATTAAAGTGACGCAGCAGCTGATAAACCCCCCCCCCCCCCTCATGTTGTTGTGAAATGACTGCACGTTAACTTAAGCACCACTTTAGAAGTCAATCTGCTGCCGGCCCTGACAATCACCGCTGTTTACTGGATATAAAATCCAATAACAAAAAGAGGTGTCCGACGGTTCCCCATCATTAGCTTCCTCTCCTCCTCCAGTTTAGATTACAGAGTTCAGATCAATACAACCCCCCCCCCCCCCCAACTCACTTCTCCACACATTCCTTCAGCTCACGTCAGAAAAACACTCACACTTTTATGAGACTCCTGTCCTGAATCAAGTCCTAATCTTTGTATATCTTTCCCAGACCAACATGTAGACCCCGTCAGTGGGAACATGTCAACACAGAGTTCATAAGGGTAAGGGAACTGAGATTTAGGACTTTTTAAGACTTTCTCAAAGCCAATTACTATGAAATGTAGGACCAAACTTCACAAAAAACATTTTAGATAATCAATTAGAGGTAAAATAGTACCAAAAGTAAAAGTACTACATATACAGAATGTACCATTTGAGAGTAACATATATATGATATGGATTATAATTTGCTATAGATCACTTCAGTTGGTAAATGTGGAGCTAATTCTAACTACTGTATAACTATATGTGCACATTTGTACAAGTGTCCTATGTTTATAAACACATTTTTATTGTATTTTATCTTTTATTGGAGATTTTACTTGTTTATAGAAATGTATTTTATTTTATAATTGTTGCTACTTCTTTGGCACTTTGGATTGCCTTGCTGTTGAAACGTGTTGGATTAATAAACGTTGCTTGCCTTGTTTTAATAGTATACAAATTGTAAGGAAACATGTCGAAATCACTGCAGCAGCAGAACTGAGCCCTATATTTTTTTGCACAGTTTGAAATAAGTGATGATTGTAATTAGCCTGCATCATACACAGGATTTGATGTTAAAGTGGCAATAAATAACATTAAAGGTGGGGTAGGTAAGTTTGAGAAACCGGCTCGAGATACACTTTTTGTTATATTCCATGGAATGCTCTTAACATCCAGATAGCAATGAATATCTGAAGTGCTTTGACCAAAAAAGTAATTATTTTACATTAACGCTGCTAATCACCCTCATATAAAGCTTGTCCGATGCTTAAAGGGGACCTATCATGCAAAGTGCACTTTTGTACGTCTTTTCTACATGAATATGTGTCCCCGGTGTTCCAGGGAACTCACCAAGTGTCAGAAAACACAACCCTCTCTATTTTCCTCCATACCCAAATCTCTAAAAAAGGGGCTGCAACGGATCTGATAAAAACTGATCCAGATTTGAACACTGTCCTCACGTCAGGACGTGTGGCCGCTACGGCTATGGGCCAACTCCACCAATCAGGAGGAGACAACCACGGCCATTGCCGTTCGAAAGCGCTGGAGACGCTGTAGTACATATGCCAGGCCAGTAGATGGTGCTGTTCTGCCCTTATCTGCCCTTACAAAAACAGAGCTAAAAAATGTCAAATTGAGCAAAATGAGGCATGGCTCAAATGCATGATCTGTTTGGTATTTTGAAAAAAAAAAAGTATAAATATGCCTTATATAGGTATGGTCCTACACTATATTATTCAAATATAGCATGATAGGTCCACTTTAACTTTACACATAAATCCTGAGCATGATCTTAGTGTAAAAAGCCTCAAACTGCAGACTGATGGAGGACTGGTTCATGTGTTTAATAAAAGTAATAACACACACTTCAGCCTCGCTGTGACCCGTCCTGGATG